AAGGTACGCCACTAGCATCTTCCCTCGTGCTGCCACCAGCAATGCTCACAGTACCGCTGCTGATATTGGTACCAGTTGCGCCAACTGCTCCACTGGTACCCTCGCTGATGCTAGTACTCGCACTTCCACTGATGCCGATACTTGCACCTCCACTAGTACCCACACTACCTTGGGTAATGGATAAGTAGTTCGGAGACCATTGACGTCTCCATGCATCAATCTCTGCAGCATAATCTCTCCCAAACTCATGATAATAGTTCATGGGAGGCCTCTCCAAATGCTGAAATAACCACTTCCATGCAAAGAAGGGTGTAAACAACGTGGGGTTACGCAAAAACTGCATTTCACACCACGTGTCGAACTCCTGAATAAAATCATCGAGCTCGATGGTGCCCACTGCACCAGAGTAACGTCGAGGGGCCTTCACAGCCCCGTACATCCCGTCCATGTCCCAAATCAATGGGGTTGAAACACTCGACGATATCACCACCAAAGACTCTATGTCTACAACACTCTGATCCTCCTCCGCAACAACTGACAAGATAGGTGTAGGTAGCCGATACCTCAACCCACTCCGCATAAATCCACCGCGGTCCTCAACAGGACCACTAGACAGCTCCGTGATGACGAAAACTCAACTGGCACCACTGCCAGATCTCCGCCCAATAACCCTGTCCACACCTGACGTCGTGTCACACTAAGCTACTCTAGCCCTACTACCTAAGGGGTATGGGCAACCTAACATGTCATCACCGCAAGAAGACTTTCACTGTCCACTGGTCATCACTCCAATATCACCGTGAGAGAAACATAGATAGGCCGGCCGGTGATCAAGTCCAGCCGCGCTATCGACAGCACAAAGGAGTAAAACTACTCCTGAAATCAGCGTCACCCCTACACGGGCGCGAACCAAGAAGCAACACGGAAGAGGATCCAAACACAAGCAAAAAGCTAGCAACGACTCTCCAGTCTAAAGGAAACACAACACAAAACAAGACAACACACACGAGACATCGCATTGCATCGCGATCCTAATTCGATCTCCATCGCCCCTGTCACCTTCCGCCTCCAGCGCCTACAATGACATCACATCCACCAAGTCGCGTAGAGAATCTTCACGCTGGACTGTCACACTCCATCTTAAACTGAAGACTCCATAGTAAGTGAGACCGGATGCAAATTTCCGGCCTCTTCAGATGAGTTTCTTATAAATCTGAACCCCTAAAAAAAAAATTCTCTCTCTATTTTTTTTTTCAAGAAAGAAATAACAAAAAATAGAAGGCTGATATATAATCAACTCTTTCTAAAGTAGTTCTGTGTACTTAAGCCTTAAGAGATTCTGAGAATTCAGATCTCACAGTAACTGTAAAATAAAACACCTAAATGATTCACTATTATTTAGGCTTACAAATGATTCACTATCATTTGTGCAACTCAAGAAGAGACATACTTCTTCACCATATATACTATAATACTAGCAAGGTGAATATTGACAGAAGTCACTTATATGTACTTCTAGTATACTCCAAATGAACTAACCTCTAAAACTACCATATTCATTGCTGGTATGTCAAAGGGGCATCTGAAATATATTTCAGATGTATTTCCAACCTATTTGTGTGATTCCCTCAAAACTCAAATTGCCCAGTTTACCTCCAGGTCACTGCAATCTTGAGTAGCTAACAGCAAGGTCCCTTTTCTTATGACCAGAAAGCTAGAAGTTTGGCTTTCTAAACTTACATTCTGGGATCCACTCTCATCCCGTAAAACACCACTTCCATCAAACACTAGTATGATCGATACTCCAGAACTCGACACCAATGCTCTAAATTGTGGAACAACCTGACCAAGAGCTACAACTGAGACTCGTGAACTCTTTCCCGTATTCCAGCGATTTCGATGAACATAGTCTCTTGGTAAGCCACCACTACATTAGGTTTCCAGCTACTTCGCGACTTCTTCCCCTTGGATTCTTCTATAAAATTTGCTCAAACTCTACAGTTTCGAACATGGCATCATCCAAACCTTTAACCACTTTGATCTAAAGCTATTCTTCTCTTTCAGATTCCCACCTATGCCATTTTGGCTCTAGCTGTAACTAGCCAAACATCTGCCTTCCAAACCCGGCTCCGAAGGGTGGTTTAATCACAGTCTGTCTTATCACAGGGAAAAGTATTCTCCCTCCATCTCAAGCTAGGAAAAAGGATACACACTCCTCCACCAGCACCAGAAAACTGGATGTCACAACTTGAAGCTATGATAATCTCAGTATATGGTGGACCAGACCGGTACTATGGCTAGTGAGAAATTCGACAATGTTGGTTTACCACTCACATGAATCTGAACAACAGGTGATTCTCTACAAAGCTTTACTGTGAGGCACGTAAGTACCGTAATCTGGAACCTTTGGAACTTACTGTAGTCCAGTATTACAACCCTACTTAACTGCAGGTGTGAACTGGTTAGTCGGTTCCTCGAGCAATCTGAAGAGTGCCGCCTTCTCTCCCTTTCGGCACCATGTCTTTACTACAACCTGGCTGAACGGCTTTGGCACTTGTTAACAAAAGTAGTAGCCTCTTGCCCAAGTCGAGTAGATTAGGCAGGAGCCAAGCGTGAGAACTTTCTTGTGAGTTTCAAGAACTCCTACTAAAACCTAAATTGTTCCTCCTCGCGCACCAGTACAAAGACAGTGACCCTCTTAGCCACAAATATCCAGCTCTAACTAAGTGTTCCTGAACAGACAGGAACCCCCGCTCCTGAATTGCACACCAAGACCCTCCTCCCACAGGATTTCTAAGCCTCCACACTCTGTACGTCACCTCGAGGCACCTCGTCCCTCGAGCCACTCACTCATTATGGGCTGCGCAGGCGGTCACAAATCCCACACGCTCTTTCCTTCCTTCCTTCCTCACTCCTCTCCCGCAAGCACGATCGCCAAGAGCTCGATCAATCAATCGACGGACGAGCCTACAAACGAAGAAGCACCACTAGCCGTCGTCAAAGTCGTCAAAATCGCTGCACTATTACTGACAATAGTTGGTATGAACAATGAACACGCTCACACCTTCGGACAAAATCTCTCGAACTTACCTTCTAGACCAAACAAACCCACACCAGTCCCACACACACACAACACACACGTAGCTCCTCTCCTCTCCACTACGAACCAACTCCTGTCAAAGCTAACTTCGAATCTCCAGACATGTCACGAAATCAAATTTGACATTTGACGAAAACCTTGATTTCAAACCTGACGATAAATTCAACAGAATTTCAGAATTTGAAATTCTTTCCTACCCCCGAGCTCTCGTCCTCGTTACGCTCTTCCTGACTATAAAATACTCTCACAAAATCGTGACCAATCCGCACAGGAAATAACCGAACCTGAAACTATGACACTGATCGCAAAATCGAGTTCTTTGAGTGAAAAGTACATGAGATTCCCCACTGGAATTCCCGTCGGTCGTTTACCCTACTCGCAAAACCGTCACCGTCACAAACATAGTCAAGCCCAACCCACTCCACACTCGGAGACTCCAGGTCTGACGCTCACGGGCACTACCCCAACGCGCTAGGCTCGACTCGAAGAACTGAAGTTCTTTGAGCCGTCTTTGATCTATACCATACGGTCTGAAACCCTAAGCTCGACGCTATTTTTAGCAAAACCGAAAACTACATGACAAAAAACATACCCAATAAATTTGAATCCATGGTCCTATGCAATTCCAATACTATGAATGAAAGAGATGATAACTCTACTTATCTCTATTTTTAATAACTTTGGTTGTTATCGTCATATTTATAAAAAAAAATTCATCATTTCAAATAATTATCTCATCTAAACCAAGACTTTATAATATTGTGAAGTATGTAGACTCATTACATTGGCAATTTAAACATATATCAATACTCTCTTCATGCAAATAATAACGCCATTCCAATAAATGGTCAATTTCTATAGATTACATTCAAAAGTTTCATGTCAATTTCTGTTGCACCTAGAGTATTACCATATTTAGACAATGAAATGTACATGTATGAAAGAAACTCGAAGAAACTAATAAACCAAACAGCTTTAGATAATAAATATATATAAAAAAAAGACCCAATATTATTTTGACATGTAAGAAAAGAATTGGAGTCTTGTCACTTTCGCTGAAAGCCCATTACAAAATCTACTGTCAAAATTGTGTAGAACACGATCAAAATTACAGCCGCTGCACGGCCATCTTTCTCTCTCTAAAGATGTCCAATCTCGAATAGGATGTTCATTATGTACAGACACAGTGTCATACTAGTGAGCATATGTTGGGGTCTTTCAATAGAGCGCTGGATACATGGGCCTGGAGGATTATTTTGCCTAGAATCATGTTCTGCATAGAGACAGATTCCCCGTGTGACTAGGCTCAAAGAGTCTTGGGCAGGGTCCAGTATTGAATCTGCAGCTGGACAAAAGCGGGCCATAATCATCCTCAAGTCCATCGAAGACGCAAGTCTCGTGATATTCGGAGCAGATCCGGTTAACATCGCACTTCCCCACAGTTGAAGAGGCCTGGCAGCGCTCACCGAGCATTGCACGATGTCTTCGGGAGAATTCATATCTTACACTTTGGACTACACGCGTAGAATTAGCAGAAGCGTAGTTAAAATTCAGAGCTTAGTTCTCAGTTGCCAAGCAGTAAGTCTGAACACCGAGCGCAAAGTTTGGTCGAAGCTGCACACTTCGGTCTCTACAAAATTCTCCCCCATTGTTAGACAGTACGACGACGTTTCGAGATCAGTGCGCCTGTTGCTGCCACGGGAAACAGCGACTACGATCCAGATCGAACACCGGATACTTATTCCATTGGCAGATTTCCAGGGGCCAAATCCAGACACTGAATTTTTTGTAGGTGCAATGCACGTCTGTAGACCATGAAGGAACAAATGATTATTTTGCTATCCGCAGCATTAGGATAGCGGTGAGAGAAAATCACTTTTTCCAGTTTGTGACAAATGCAGACGTTGTACACCATTGTACGTGGCAACCACATCTCTGGAGGCATACTGGATTCTAACTAGACATCTGCGTGTGTAGAACTGTACCAGGAATTGAATTGAAAGTCCAAATTATTCTTTGCATAATTTATGCAATGGAGACTGCAAGCCTACAGCCAGAAGTTGTTTCAACCCATCCTGATTACTGATTACCATCTTCTCCAATTTGGAATGAAGTAGGGACTAAGACAACGCACTACCGACCTACTTGTATTATCAGATTACAATCAGATAATCTTCTGCCTGCAATGTAGTTGCGAACAATTCAGAGCTTCGTACGGTGTGAGCATGACGACACCACCAGCAAACTTCTAGTAAAAAAAAATGGAATCGCCTGAATACATGAGGGAGAAGATATAGGCACATTGGGGAGATATAAGATCTCATATCCCAGTAGACAGCTGCGGCCCTTCATATGCGAAAAAGGATGAGAAAGGTGACATGAGTAAAAGAATACTTAAGCAGTTCCTACCAGGCACGAAAATGAAGCCTGACCCAGCAAGGGAATAAAGGCTCTCCATCATTGAAGCAAGCACACGTCGTTCTCATAGAACCTTGCTTCAAATAGTCAGCCCAACACGTAGTGCAAATCCTTCAAAGACAAGATTATGTGCTGCACTAGTACTGAGGACAATAATGGCCAACTGCTGGACGTAGAATGTCGACTGTAATTGCAGGACAATTCAGGAGCATCGGCAGATCAGTTTCCGTCACAGTGACGTCCCTCACGACGTTCGTTGATAGTCCTGTCTGATGGACGTCGAGAGAGATTTGTAGCATCAACGAACGGCAAGATTCTCACTATGAAAGTAGGAAGACATGGTCATGCAGTGCTTAATACGATGCCATCTTTCCACAGGATCATTGGGCATCTTCGAGGTGATATACCGTCCTGTTTGCAGCAAAAAGAAGGCGACATGAACTGCCACAGCTTATCCATTGCCACTCCTCAGGAGAACTTGATATCATGCCAGCTTTCGGATGGTACCATAAGGAGGGTAGTGACTGACGATGAACTTGGAAAAGTAACTGGCCCGGCATCCAACGTCAGAAGGTACAGGTATAATCTTAGCTTCATGAAAGCCTGTCCAATGTCCCTCCTTTATCAAAGAACAGATTTGAGATATGAAACCACTCACTTTGCAAGACCAAGTTGCACAAGAGAGGCAGCTTCTGCTAGCATGTTCAATGCAAGGGGAACTTCTTGCAAGCACATTTTGAGGACCTGTACTAGCTGAGCTGCTGACGAGGCCATAGATGCAGTACAGAAAGTGTGAAGCACTCCATCCACATATTCCCTAGCCATTCCTGTCAAAATTTGCTCATAGACTTTCATGCTCTGTGGAAAGCCGTAGTTGATGACAAGCATCATGTTCTCCAGAGGAATATGGTCGATAAACTCTGCAGTAGAGACAAGCGCCTGGACAGTTCCGTCTCTGCATCATCGCCAACACCAAATCAAATTAATACATGAGGTAAAAAGTATTGATCAAGATATGTGAGGTAGGAAGTGTCAGCTGGAAGATACACAAAGTAATGTATTTTATCCAGCATTCAAAAGGAGCAATGATCTATATGACGATGTCCAATGTGTACGCCTTGATTAACACATAGCGTCGACAGTCACACATGTGACTGTTGACGTGTAGCCTGACTTGAGCGAACAAAATGAATCATACGGCAACTAATTGACTGTGTTTGAAGATTGTATGAAATGCAATATCGACAGAGCTTAAGTGAAACAAATAGATTACACAGTAAGATAATTTCGACCCACTCAAAAAATGACCAACCGTACATAAGGTAAAATTCCAAAACTTGAAAACAGCCAATAAAAACTCCGTTCACATATAGTTGACAAAATGTAGTAGTGACGTTCTACACAAGATTACTGCTGAAGAGACTGAAGGTAGGGCAAACACCTAATTTGTTTCACAGTTGCATCAATATTCTGCTTCGCAGAGTTTGATAGACTTGCAGAAGAATATCCTATTTTCTTCAATTCAGGAAGAACGCCTTGAATGGTTTCCTCACTTTCGACCACTATCAAAATTCCCCAGTTTCTTTTCTTCTCCTGCTTATCCCAGAATTGTTGTAATATTTTCAGCATCTGAGAAGACAAGCAACAGTAGCACAGAGAGAGTTATAACTTTGTGGCCAAAATATAACACATGTTAATGTCTATATCCTACACTACGGTAATTACATGTTGCTCTAAGAAACCAAAAACTCATGAAAAGTTCCACGTTAATAGCACAAAATTATTCGTATCCGTCAGGAAATGGGTATGACTTGATCTTCAACGTAATAAAACGGTAATACGTACCTTGCTCATTCTTTTGTTCACATTGGTGAACACTGACACAATTTGAGTTATACAAGCACTAGAGCTTTCGAGACTTTTATTTGAGGTAACTCTGGCTATCGGGTCCGCGACCAACTGCCGTGCGATTATTACCGCTCTTTCTGGATAATCCTTGCTAAGGACAATCTTGCGTGCACCTCGACTCACGTACTCTTTGATTTTACTAACTTGACTTTGAAGGCCTCCCTCAATGATTTCCGACAATTCATCAACAACCTGTCCAGTAATTATCAGAATGTGTAAGGAACGAGCGCCTAACATGATACCACAGGCTCTTAGGAAAAACCCATGCAGACTAAAAAGGGTTCCTTCGATCTCGAATGGTCATTCAAAATCGAAGGATCCCTTTTTAGTTTGCAAATGTTGAGAACAGCAATTGACTAGTCTTCCATACTAATAGCCGAGATTTTAAATATTTCTAATATGGGAAGGGACTCACTAGTAGAGATATACTTGAAAGTTTGATGGCGTGTACTGAAAGTAACTCGCATAGCCGGTCGGGTGTGGCAACCAGAACGTCGGGTGAAAGTGATTTCAATCTGCAATCGACCCAAAGCAACGATTGTTCTTAGGTGAAAACATACCATCAAATAACGACTCTGAAGAAGGAAGAAGACTACATACTGTCGATCAATCAACAAAAAGTAAGAATCAACAAGTCGTTACATATAGGTCGGAAGAAGGATTGTTGATTTAGCCTGTACTTTTTCTTTTTTATTTGAGCCGTATGCGGGAAGACTAGTTATTCAATTCCTCTGCATAATATAATTCTTATCAAATTTTGTCCCGAGATTCATTACATACAAAGTAGTCATCCGTTGATAAGCTAATAAAAAACGGGTGGGACAGCTGAGACATGAAAATGAACCCACGTAATGAAAGATGTACATTGACACAAGCAAGTTACTGCATATAATGCCTGGTGCAGCTTTAACAAGAGCACTAACAGTTACAATAAGAGGAACATTGCCATACATAATCTTGATTCGTCCACAGAGCATGCGCTTCTATATTACGAGGTTACGGGGCTCACCCGTCAGTCTGTCGCTCCAGGCTAGTTCCACTATGCAGACACACAGATGTGATACCAAGAGCTTTTTTCAATGGTCGAAGCACACTCCTCACCTGCATATAAAATCTACTTATTTAGCAGTGTGCACGTTAATCAGTCATTCGGTTGACACGAAACCTCCAAACCGGTATCAACTTTATAATCAAACGTTTTGTAATATTTCACAAGAGATGGAAACAAGTAGCTTCATGCCTTTCACAATCATGGTCACAGATGTAGAGAGTCTCACGCTGTCGCCAAGTGGAAAAGGAGTAGTACAGCAACCATACAATAATCCGTCTTCTCTCTAAAAGGAAGCACGAGGGTTCAAGCCGAATCTTGAAGTAACGAGCAAAATGAGAAAGCCAAGAGCAGGACCCATCCGAGGTGCTCTTATAAACTTCCTCCATCACTTACTTAAGAATTGGCTATAACTTTACTCCGTCCATATATTTTGTACTGATTCAAGAAGTTTGTATCCGAAACAGGGAAATTTGGCTTTTGACCTCTACAGCAAGTTACGTCTTCACAGAACACCAGAAGCACATGTAAACGAAAAGTGGAACCACAAAATTGGGTTAGAAAATCCCAGACGGTTGAAAGGATCGCTTACGACATAAAAAACAATCAGGTGTTCACAACATCCTGAGGTCTCAACAGTACTGCTTACCCGCAAGGCCTGATCTTGGGACGGGACAAGGATGAGCACAAGAGGTTGGTGAAGTGCGCCGTGCTTGACACGATGCTCTTTCACATGCGCAGCTGATGGAGCAACTAACCCAAGCGCCCGGTCCTCCAAGCTGCAAGAGCAGGTGGCTAAAACGTCTACGCCGCGACTATAAGCTTTCCAAAATTGTTCTACCACCTGATTTCCAAACTTGCTCCCAGATTTCGATCCTTTAATAGACCCAGACTTGTCAGGGCCCACAAGTCCTGTCTCTGAGAGTACAGCTAATACCATTTCATCCGTAACTTCTCCCTTGATATCTTCGCCCTCTGAAGTCCGTCTGATACCAGTCGGTTCCTGATCTACCGACTTGACAGATAGCTGGATTCCACCATTTGATACACTGGAATCTATGAGTGACATGTGGCCGTTTCCAACTAGTTTCTGCTTGCCAACACCATTCGAGTCCACCTTCCTCTTCTTTGAAGGAAAAACAGCTTCATCCGCGTCTGCAGGAGCCTCTTTGCCTCTCTTCCTTTTCAGCTGCTTATCGTAGCCAGCATTTACGTCGCCATCGGAATCACCAGCATCTTCCCCACCTTGATATTCTTTTCCATTATAGCCTATCTTTTCTACAAATGAAACCGGCTCTAACGATGCTGCTTTTCTGGCAGCTTCTCTCTTCTTGTCCATTTGAAGTTTTCGATCACGCCGGTCGAGGAAAGGATCATCAGGAGTAGGAAGCGTGTAACACATTCCCTGATTCATGAAGAGAAGATCAATTTAGTTTGACAAGTAAAAAAGAAGTCAAGTGGCTGGTAAGAGGTTCGATTGCTACTTCATTCTACTTAAATTTGACACGAATGAGGATGTACTTTAGAAGGAAGACATAAAATACATCTCCATGAATGTCAGACTTTAAAACTTGATAATTTTACTGAAAGTCCGAATCAAGGAAAGAAGTGTTTCGGACACTATGTCCCAGAAATCACTATGGCCTTGGAACTGTGGAGGTGTTCGACAACAGACAGCTACTGAATGTAGAAGTCCAAATCAGTGGCCCTCACACTTGAAGGCTCAGTATAGTTAAGGAAAAGAGAAAGCTTTATCAGCCCGAGCTGAATTATAACTCTAGCAATAGAAAGGTGGAAATTCATAAGATTCCCTGTAGATATTCCGCTAGAACAAACCGAAAGTCGCTGAACTCATCTCAGATAAAGCTTTCTATCTCTCTCTCTACAAAGATTGTACTTCAACAATCCAATCAACTGAGTCATTCCGTTCATCATCTGGTCTTGTGCAATCGGCATTACTGAATGAGATTTTGACAGAAAATTCGGTCCCAAAGTGGAAACGCAATTACATGACAATTTGAAAACTAAGTACTCGCGACAGAAAGACTGCGTTTACTATCAAAATCAAGTGAAAAAATAGCGAAGCTTAGGTCCTGCGTAGATCTCCTATTGTGCAACGAAATGTACTGGATGAGATTGGGACGATAAAATCAGTCCAAAAGTGCAAATGTAGTTCCATGTCGGAGTAAAAATAAGTGCATTTCAGGCAGACAGTGGAATGCAATTCGAACACATCGAAATCACCCGAATGATGCAGACATAATATCCAACCGCAATGACTTAGGAATCCTGGGCCAGACTTAAAAGTGGTAGATTCATAGACAAACGAACCTCACAAGCTCGACGGGTCCCTGCTTTACGACGGCGCTTAGCAGCCTGAACACCTTGAATTGCTTCAATGGAATCTGCACCAACTCTCCGATTTCGCTTTCGGATGGCTTTATTGCGATTCTTCGCAATCGCATCATCACCCTTCGCCATCCTGCTTTATCCTTGAAGCGAACAATCACTTGAATTTCTGGCAGACTCTCGATCGTACAAACCGTGTCCGCAACGAGACGATCACGACATCCTCGTTAAACATTTGCCGAAAGGGATATGCGTGAGCTCGATCGAGTCGGATCGAGCTGTGCACCTGTCATCCATGCCATTCTGACAGTGCTCCTTCGTGCTAAACCCCTGCAGGGGTTTTCCTTCGGTGATCGAACAAATTGACAAAACCCTAACCCTAAACTACGTTCGTAGAATGAGAATGTTGTATCAAAAATCTTCCAAAGTATAATATGGCAAGTTGGATATTGCCTCTATTGAAAGATGTGAAACTTGTAGCGACATCTTTGTTAGTTCTAAGTTGTCAAACAATTCATTCACTACTCAACAAAAAACGCCCATTCTCTTCATGTCAGGATTACCAAAAACTTGATGGTTTTTGACGTTTGAAATATTATTTTTTTAAGAAAATCAATCTACTATATTTCCCAAATTTGATATCTGAGGATTTCTTTTATGGATTTCGAAATTATTTCATGATCATTCAAAAAATTTCCCAACTTTCTCTTACATATTTCCGTCAGCAGATTTTCAGAGAAAAGTTTTAATCTACAAAAAGAATTACGAAGCAAGCTCGAGATGAAATTAATCGAACTATATGATGACATGATATAGATGATCTTTCAACGAATGTCTTTAGTTTCTCTATGCTTTATTAGGACTGAAGAGTCGATAATGTAATTCAATTCAATACATTTTTTTGAACCTGGGATTAAATTTAGCAGAATTTATCAAAATCATGATGAAGATGATTTTAGAAGACTAAAAAAATCGTTTTAAAAGCTCGTGTGTTGAATACATATCTTGTTCAAGACAATACTTTGAATCTGAAATAAATAACATCATTCAACTTAATAAAATAAAAAATCTATTATCAACAAAGTCACTTGATGGATGTTAAAATGTATTATACACATTTTCAACATCCATCAAGTGACTTTGTTCATAATAATTTTTAGGATATAAATGTGTGTGATAGTAATTCGTGATCTTAAAAATAAATCTAAGTTTTTAGATCTTATGAAATAGAGGTTGATCTAAAAGAACCTATACATCGATCGAGAGAAATTAAAATTAATTTCCGATAGAAAAACTGAATGAGAAGATAAGAGAAAAATATAAAATATATTTTTGTTTTGATGTTGTGAAAAATAGAGTATGTTGATATAATCCAATATTGCAAATCCAGGTATACCGTATGATTTTAAAATTGTGATTTTCTTTCATTCAGGTGAAGAGTTCATGGCGAGAATGATACCTGGTAAACTGAACTGGATAGTTCTTGATGTTTATAAAAAATTTGGAATTAGACATAAATTTTTATTGATTTTAACATAATGTGTTCAAAGAGATTAAGTTTGCATATGATGCCAAATACGCTCCAAGTACGGATTGAAAAAAAATCCTTTAAACGTGAAGAGTACAAGTAACTGATATTTGAAGAAAGATTAGTCAGCCATAAGCACGAGCAAGCATATTTCCTTGTTAATCACATCCTCATCAGTACCCATCAAAACCATTTTCGGCTGACGTGATTTTCTAACATAGCTACAGGCGAAGAGAGTTGTCATTGGAATATTTGTGTGCTTTGTATAAGTAAACTAGAAGCTTTCGTTAGCGTCTGGATGTTTTGAAGTTAACGGATGTGACATTGTGTGACCTTGCAACGAATGTTGGAAAGAGTGGAGTGTGTTAATCCAACGACGATAAGATCTGTGCAATAAGCTCCGAAGGAACAAATAACTACTCATCAAAAGATGGGTAAACAAGAGTTGAGGTATCACCATTTTTTTTGTTTTCACGAAAGAATTACACTCTCCATCTACGAACTTAACCCTAGACACGGGATCTCCAGAATAATTCGTTTAATCATTTGCAAAAGTCCATCGCAGTCGAAAAGGGGACTGATGTTGTACTGTGCTCCACGGCGTGGTACTCAAAATAGTCGATCATTCATGTAACCCATGGTCCACTGGATGATTGACTCACGTACCCTCTGTCTGAAATTTTATCATTGAATAGTCTAATGGATGTAAAGCTTCAACCAAAAGCATACTGATGTGTTACTGAAATTATATTTCCATAGGATCCAAATCGGTCTGACGAAGTTATGTTTCAATTTCGCCACTCAGAATCCGTCCTAACATGTAAGTTGGAATTGTCACTTCAGAGTCGATAGCTTGATTGCTTTGTAACATGACACTGGGTTTACCTGTGGTCAGGTGTGATTTCTTACATCAAGTCATATCTATTGCCCCCGTGCAGTTTAGACGCATGTCAACAACGTACTTATGATATTAATCATAAGCAATATATTTTGTATTTTATCATACAAAATATAATTAAAGGACAAAATTTCTACCACTATGGACAACGTCAGGATAGATAATCAAGGAGAAATGAAGTAAAGATATTATTCTCCTCATGGAGTTGAAAAAAGTATAAAGTGCTTAAATTAAATTGGTTTGAAAGTCTGTGATTTGAAAATAGCAAGGCCATTTCGTCGTGAATGTGATACTGGTATGAGCCATTTGGGTACAAGCTTACGGAAAAATTTCATTTGATCAATTACAGAGAGATAATGCACCGGGTAAAATGCGAGCTACAAACCTTGGAAATGAAATTTAAACAAGTACTGAAGAAAGAAAAACTTATAAAAAGTCTCTATGAGAAATCCGATGAGGTGAAAATCAGGGTCACACCTGTCTACTTCTGTCCATTGTCCAATTGACATAATGTTCAGCTCCTTGGTGACGATTTCAAACGATATGAGGAGGTCAAATAATCTAAGTCTACAAAATGATAACCCTTTATTTTAGTTAAAGACAAAATTCATTGAAGAATTTCATTGAAATTCTCAACCTGATGGGACTCTAAAACCCCTCTACAATGATACGTTTTCTATTGGCACACTTCCTCCCACCAATGTTCTTCCAAGGGAAGCATTCGAAAATCACAACTCAAGCACTTATCGCAACACCATTTTGTTCAACGACGAATTCACTTGTACCTTCCGCAGTTGAGTATTCCACATTCTTGTTCCACTCGCTTTCTCTGAATTGTCCAAGTGTCCAAAGATTCGAGTTAAGGCAATTTTTACTTTTTATTGGAATTTAAATTAGTTCCTAAAATTTTTACTTCATTGTTTTTCCTTTTTTTATGTATAATTTTGTTTCGTTACTGTATAACCTTCCCTTTATAAACTTCAGGAGGTTTACAACTTTTGGCAATGGCAGTGACTTTTTTATGATCCATTCCAGTACAACAAATGAGATTAGGCTTTAAGCAAAAAACACCGACTGAAGGTGTAACTTGCAGTTGAATCTCAAGACTAAATCTTAATATTTAAATATCAAATATAGCATTGTGCGTTAGTACTGGCTTTGTATCCAACTCCAATTATTTCCAAAAAAACAAAAGAATTTAGCTTTCATAAACTTGACTTGATTTTTTTTTAAAACTTGGAATAGAATCTCACCGCCACCAAGTTTTTGGGATGGGTTGCTAAAGCCGCAACCCACCTCTACTAACGCTGAGATTAGAAGAAGTAACAATGACGGTGGCAAAAGCCAAAATAAAATATTATTTAATCTAGCGAATGCCATATCCAACTTACTATAAAAATAGTAACAAACCAATTACCAAAACCACCTACCATAGCTGCCTTAACCATTCAGAAATCATTAAGAAAGCACGAGCTGTTTAATAATAGGGGTCAATCAGGTCTTTCAACACAGCTGCTCTCAGAACCTTACATTAGGATTTCACCTCAAACGGCTCGCAACTCCAGTCTCCACTTATTGCTATGAACTTTCAATATTATGATTGAACATTGCGGGGATTACTTCCGTGTTTATGGCACCAATCTGGAATCAAGAAAGCTGTTACAGAATTTTTTATCTAAGGTTCCCGGCGCCAAATATCTCGACTTTTGCGATTGGTCTTGCGTTTGCTTTTATGCAAAAAGCAAACTTCACAAGATTGCGTTGGGTACAAAAAAAAAATAACAGCTTTGAAAAGATTTTAGCTTTCCAAAGCTGTTCTGGCTAAATGCCGATTAGACTCTTTCATAAGAAGCTTCCATGTGCGGTTCAGGGTGGAGGGTAAAAAAGAGGCCGTGCCTTGTAACAATATTATTATACAATATATCTCTTGTAATATTATCCTATAGAAACATAGGGAAAAATATTTCTGCTCGATGAGGTAACATCCTCACTACAGAGAAAAGTGCTCAGTCAGGCCGCAGGTCTTTTCAATTAAGACCAAAGGCAAAAACCGGTTGTCCCCTTGTAGAAACGAGGGGACAACCGGCCTGGGGGGATGGCTATCAGAGACTCAACGCAGAATAACTACCATTTTGCAGATGGCTTGTTGGTATGACAGAGGAAGATGGCTGCTTTAGCATTGTGCTTCAAAACGGCAAGTACAACGTTAACTTCTCCATTGCTCAAGGCAAGTATAATCTACTTCTCCATTGCTCAAGGCAAGTATAATCTACGGATCTTGTATTACATCAAGAAGATACTTGGTGTAGGGTCTGTTAATATGCATAAGACCATAGGAGTGCATCGGATCCGGGATAGAAGGAAGCTAGCAGAGATAATAATTCCTATCTTTGACCAATACCCATGCCTAACAAGCAAGCAATTCCATTACGAGAGGTTTTGGAGGATCCAAAGTTATTTACAGAGCACAAGTATTCCATCTGTGAGCAATTGCGGAGTGCTACTCTTCCGGAGACATATGTCAATCCTGTTTGGACGGCAAATACGGCTATTGACATCGATTGGCTAAATTTCGCTATAGAATTTTGATATTGATGAGGTGTCCAATCTTATATCAAGAGAGCAGCATTATATAGATTTATTACTCCCCTCTTACAACATAAACCAGAATGCGGGTTCTAGAATCGGTTATAAGCATTCTAAGGAGATCCGGGATACGAGGAGAGGCGCTAAGAAAGGACGCAAGCTCTTTTCGGAAGTGGTAGCAAAGAGCCGAAGTAAACAAATTTTCTTTCGTGGTCCGAGCGCGAGCCTGCCCTTATGCACTATGGGGTTCAACGAAAGCAATAAATCAAGATTTTTGCTTTCGTCAAACGTGGTTAGGGCGGCCTGGAGTAAAAGGATTCGATCCTTTGTTTCTCGGCATCAAAGGCCGATGCCTTACCACTTGGCTATATTCCAAAATGGCCATAATCCAACCTTACACAAGAATCAAGTGACTTCACGTAGCGCCCATAGGTGCATTAGAAAAGGGTTGATCATTTGCGCTCTGCATTTTCTTATTTTGGACTTCGTTAAAAATAATATGTGCGGACCAGGCTTTTTTTATTCAAAAAATAGAAATTTTTAATGAAATAGAAAATGCTATTTTTTCTTTAGTTTATTCAAGGGAGGAGCAAAGCGAGACATTCGACCAAAGAGAGAGGGAGAAAGGACCCCAAGTACGCACACTCAATCGATATGCGGGGAATTTCCTCCTAGGTATTGCCGGACCCAGGGAACTGGTAGCCACGGTCAAGAGTAGGATTGTGCACTTGGTTTTGTCCGACAAAACAAAGGGCACTTACGACCAACTCTGCCTAGGAATACCTTTTAGTAAACTCCGGCAACTCCTTGACCAAAGGCACTTACTACCAACTCTGCCTAGGAATACCTTCTAGTAAACTCCGGTAACTCCTTGACCAGATTGGGATGAAAATTCGTTGATTAGGGTAGCTATTCTCTTAGCACTATTGAGTCTTAGTGGTCTTTGCAAAAGCGGGGGTCAAGTAATGTTCTTGAGATTGCGCGTCCGGAGAAAAGAGAACCATATGATTTAAAGAATTGATATTCTTTGGTTTTACAAAACATCGTAGTACCAAGTATTAAAACGAAGTCTTGTTTTAAATGCTCGATGACTTGGCGTTGAGTTGGCATCTACTTGAGTGTAATAAATGCAATCTAGGTGCCATATTCCAAGAGCAACTCTCAAGATATTCTAGCAATTTAGTATGGAGTACCATGTGACTCTCATTAAATTGTCGTTGTTTTTTTCTTCGACGTGGAAGAGAGTATCATAACATGGTATGCTATTTTGCTCGAACATGTGGGCGGGAGTATTCTTGGCGTAATTAGAAGGAGTGAAATTTCTAATTGAGAGAATTGATGCACGTGGAAAAAATTTGTCGTAAATATTCAACAGTTTTGAGAAATGTACAATTACTTCCGTGTGCATGGAAATGACATGCGTTTTCTTTACAAGAAATGTTGTGGTACTTGTCCCAACCCGTACACTCGGAGTACTATCCTTGTCTAAATATGGCCCCAACTTGGCACGCAGATTATCTGGACGGTATTTGACCCCCGGTTTTGTAAAGATACCATTAGACCCCGAAGGAAATCGGATAGTGTCACAGAAGCAAAGATACAAGTCTTCAAAACCGTAAAAGCTGGAAGCAATTTGAAGCGGAACATGTCAGACGGGAAATATACACTAGGGCCATTCGCCGTTTCCACCCGCAGCTGGTGGGTATACCTGTCTATGACTTTACCCACTGCAAGAGAAAATCTCTTCAATTTTGAGGTGTACTCTTTCTCTTTCTTCTATCGTCCTCTCCCGTCGGTCAATTTTTTCATACTAGCACCCCTTGACTAAGAATGGTGATATATGATTTTTAGACTATAAGAGGCACATACCAATAAGTAAAGTTTCGAGCAGCTTTGTAATTTGGCTAGAATGAATTGTAGCACCGAGCTCCTGTGTAGTCAGGGAAAAAACGTAGAGATTAGCGAGTATCTACATCAAGAACGATGGAATGGAGGATCTAAAGGATGATTATAAAGTTTATAATCAAACTTTCATCGATAGCATCGGTTGCTTTCGTTTTTCGCCATTTCTTTCGATACGCATGAAATTTTAGACCAGGATTCGTTTCGCAGTATCTTACCCTTGGCGATGAAGTGTATGAGTGTGGAAGTGTTGACTGTTCTTGCTATACAAAGTAGTTTCGAATCTGGCCTGATGTCACAGAAAAGGTTGGGCGCCATGATCAGACTTCTATGAGTAGTCATTTTCTTAAGAAATATACATCCTCGTCTTTGAACCTTTTACTTTAACCGTAAGTACTAACATATCCTCAGAGTGGTCATCTGCCTCTCTGCTCGAATCTTCCATGTGAATGGAAATTTTACACTCTTGGCTCGCCATACTCGTAGTACTCATTGAGTACAGGGTTACCCCAATGGACCTCGAATGTTTCAATTGATCTGAAAATTCCAGGGTATTTTATTACTTTCACCTAGTCTATTTTACTTTCAATTGTGGCACTCAACCCATAACAGATTCACCTGACCTCTCGTGTGTGAAGGGCCTGCATAGCAACAAAAGAATCTGGTACACCTTCGAGACTGTCACATTGAAGACAGACGTACTGAAGCGCTTCCGGTTCCGGAAGGAAGGATCGAGGCAACCGTCGAAGGTTCTGGCACACAAGGATCAACTCTCGCAACTGCGACATTCTGGCAAAAAACTCTGGTAGACTCTGGAGTTTGTCGCATTGCAACTCTAGCTTTTGAAGACCTACCAACGCACCAAATCGATCAGGCAATATCTCAAGTGCGTTGCATCGTAGGCTGAGGTCTTGAAGGGCGAGCAGTTCACCAATAGACGGTGGCAAGCTGACTAGAGTTTGGCATTTGAGGTTCAGTTCTTGCAACTGTGTCAAGTGGCCAATACTTTCGGGCAGGCATTTCAACAGGTCGCACTCCAAATGTATTTTTTGAAGATCCTGCAACCGACTGAAAGAGTCTGGAAGCCTCTTCAGTTTCTGGGCTACAAGCTTCAGCAACCGCAGTTTCTGTAGGCTGCCAAAGTTATCAGGCAAAGACCGGAGGTTTCCAGCTTCCAGGTGTAGGAATTGAAGGTTGCTCAGCCCACACACAGACTCTGGCAAGCAGTCTATTTTCAAAGCCGTCATTGACAAGTACACAAGCAGGCTGGACTTTGCGAATGATATATTCTTCCCACTGTTCTGGCTGCTGAACACGACAACGGATCTAGGCAATGTAGCTTTGCCTTTTTCTACCTCGCAGTCCACCAATTGTAGACACCGCAGTCTCCCCATACTGCAAATTTCGTGTAAAGGAAGACGCTGGGAGAGATGTTCACAATTTGAATACCCTCCAGATTCAGGAATGCGGCATTTCAAGCAAATTTTCGTGGAATATTGACCAGAGATTTCTTCACATACCACCTGCAAAGTGTGCACGTTCTGCATTGAATGGCAACGCATATGCTCGTAAGAAAGCTTCGACCTTCAAGTAAATTAATAGAAAGACGAAAACGTCTAGATAAGCAGAACCTGGAAGTGACTCTAAACGATCTGTGATAAGTTGTAGATCAACGTAATGTTGTATGCATAGACGATTATATGTTGCTGTAAGGTACTAAATGACCGCTCAGATATTCACAGATACGTTTGTCAGTGACATAAGAACTTTGATCTAGGACCATTGGCAAATGCTTGCATGGATAAAATTACCACTCCTCACATTCTGTCTCCAATCGGAAAAATATGTGAAACATAACGGGGAAACTGGTATTCAACGAAGTAGCGAATCACCTTAATCTTACGATCGACATCTTGTAAAATTTTTAAAAGGTTCTCGACACTGTCGACCCGAATCTTGAAGTCGTCGTTATCAGTCAACGAGTGGCCGAAGCGCTTTAACAGTTCATGGATCCTGATCACTGAATCGTCTGGTACTTGAGAAACTAGTGACCGGTCAACCAGTGTTTTCCAGTGTAGAGCTTCATATTGATATATCATACTCCAAATAACCTTCGCTTCGGATAACGTCCACTGTCTCTGGCCATGTCTCCACCCGTGATTCTCCACGAATCTTTCTTGGAAAAATGTTGCAGCTTCTAAAAACATTTGCTTTTCCTCGGGCCCGAGTTTGTCGTAGCTCATAGTCAGAGACTTCCACACTTTATCGCTCATAGTCAGAGGCTTCCACACTTTATCGCTCATAGTCAGAGGCTTCCACACTTTATCGCGTCCAACAAAATCTCCGCGGTATCCATTCATCAAATGAGGGGTTATCTGTTGCCACACCTCTTTGTCATCAACCTTTTTCAGATAATCAGCTACATCATACAAGGACGATGGCAGACCTCCACACGCTTGCACTATTTCCTCCATGCACTTTGTCTGCCACTCTTGCAAAGGTTGGTTGTCTGGGAACGCACGCGTCTTGAACAGCAGTTTAGAATCCTCCCCATCTAAAGGTGCAACTCTAACTATGTGTATGCCATCGATCTTGTTTAACATCTGTCGATTCTGTGATGCTACGATGAAGCGGCTACTGCTCAACAAGGTGCGGCTGAGCTTTCTCAGCAGTTCGATTTCCCTGTCCTTTTCTACATCATCGAACGCCACCAGTAACTTCTTCCCTCTCAACTGGACCAAGTTAGGTGCTGGGGTAATCTTCTTGCCTTTGTGATGCACGAGACTCAACACCGTCTCCTCGAATTCTCTCTCGTCACCAGGAATCTGCTTGACGCCCTCAGCGAAAAGCGTGTAAGGAAAGGCGTTCCATAGAGCATTAAAAAAATATTTGCAGAGAGTGGTTTTCCCAACTCCTACCATCCCCCAAAATCCCAAAGCTTTATGTTTCTCCAATTCTTGGTGGATTTCTTCAACTTTCCGAGAGATTTCTGGAATTTCCTTGAGTAGACCGACTTTTATCTGCGGCAGGTCTTGCATATTTTCTGCAGTCATCGTGACCTGCGGCATTTTCTAGCAAGATCAGTACATTCCTGTCTATTATGTTCAAATTTGTAACCAGGAAACAGCAGAAATCCATGCCCAACATCTTTTGCCAAACTGGAAAGACCGTATAAAGAGAAGTATAAAAGGTCCTGTAGCACTCTAGACATTTGTAAGATCTCGACATTAAGAAAAGTCCGTGGAATTTACCTGGGCTAGAATCGTTTCAATAAAAGTTTCTAAGAACTGATACGAGCTGCTATCTCTACTATTTGGCTGGCAGATTGAATAGTGGTCTGCATCGGGGACTATCATGAAGTTGAAGTATCTTGCAGATGCCTCTTCAACTAGGACTTCACGGCGTCCGTTTTCCTGGAGAGGGATAATCAGTGAGTATTGTACATTGGAACAGAATCAGATATTGGTTGATTGCAGCAAGTGGAGGTAAATTTATATACATAAAAAATTACATACTTTAGAGGCTTTCAGCCTATTGCAGTGTGAATGCACGCAGTCCAGCTTATCGCATACTACTGACAAAAAGGGACCGAATGATAAATATGTCCAAAGGAGCTACTATGCAGATTGATTCCTGGAAGTTACCAGTTCCGTAGGTAAAGATTCACCCAAGCCTGTGACCTTCCAATCGTACTCATTACGAAGAAGGTCATGAAGTTCATTGAGTCTCGACAATTTATTGCTGGACACCTTCACGTACTCAAACCACTCTCCTTCCGCTATGTTAGTTTTTCCTACAATATCTGTCAATGAGCGATATCCACGATGAGGCACTCCGAAGTAGCAGAAGCCTTTCAGGTTTTGAAGAAAAGTGGTATACAGTTCCTTCCTCTCGTTAGCTCTTCGACAAACTGCTTTTGCAACTATTCCTCCAAAACAGTGACAAACGAATATGAATGGTCTGTTTTTACCAACATCTGCCCGTGTCAGCTCCCCCAACAGATTCTCTGCCACCAGATATAAATCCATATTGCTATCTTTCTTGATGCTATCTTCGTAGGAGACTGCTAGTATACGTATGCTAGGGTTAATTTCGTAAAGCCAATTCAGCCATACTTCTGATGGCTTAGTTCGAGATATCCAAGTTACTTTATGTGCCTCACGCGTAGGTTTGAAAGGAAGACCATGGAGGAACACACAGTCGAAAGCAGATTCTCCTGACAACTCCGCAGAGTTTAGCAAGTAAACTGAATCACTCCTCTGAACATATCGCATTGTCCCAATATTAGTCAAGGAAGAACAACTTTACTACTATACTGAACAATAACTTTGAACTCAAATTCTGTAGTCCGGATACGTCTAGACTATTAGAAGGACAACATTCCAAACATTCTCTACAAAAGAGTTTGAATCTGGAATTTTTGAATGAAAGGAGATATGAAGATGATTGGAATATCGTTAATGGCGTTTGTCAGGGAAGAACAACTTTACTATTTTACTTTGAACTCAAATTCTGTAGTCCGGATACGTCTAGACTATTAGAAGGACAACATTCCAAACATTCTCTACAGGAGAGTTGAAATCTGAAAATTTTGAATGAAAGGAATTCTGAAGATGATTGGAATATCGTTAATGGCGTTTGCAGGAAGCTTGAACTTGAAATGAATCACACCCTAAATCCATACTTTCATATCATCACGTGACTCTCAAATCCTGCTCAAACTCACAGGTTTCATTTTGCAGGCAGAATTAAGACAAAAAAAATTAGCAGAATCTAATACGAGAACGAAATAAAGCATTCTTGTGACAAAACCGAGTGAGATTTCCGCACCCGTTTCCAATCAGACTCTCCGGACCTTCCAGCAGGATGTGCACTCGAGATTTCCTGTTCCTTTAGATCTTCCCTGTGGAATATTGTGCTCCAGGTTAGGAATCATACCCCAAAGAATGATAGAGAGTAGCTTCTAATGAGGTTCAAGGATTGCAGCTCAAGAATACCGATGTTCATACAAGATGGTGAATCACTTTGAAGGAATCTGGACCACATGTCGGACTACAACACATGAAGCTGAAAGACCACAGTACGCAATCCAATATCAAGAAATGAGTTCGAGATGTAAGGCTGAAGAGCGTTCTTCGCCATGGCTAATGGAAGAAAGACTTCCAAAATCCACTGCTTATTCCTGTACACTGAAGTGCAAGGGCAAGTGCTGAATATTACTATGTACTTGAGTATTGGCGTGTTTCATAGTGTCTGGGAAAAGGCCAGCACAATTCGTCGAGGTACGTGAGCTGTAATTTTTGGGGCAAGTCTCTGTCTTCACCAAGAAATCAGACAAATGAACATCCTACTCTTTTATGAATAAATCACATCTTGTACACATCTTCTCGAAAACTTCAAATTTTGGTACTCACATTTCATTCGAGTCCATTGATCAGAATTCATCCCAGTCAATTGTTGTCAATAAGCGAGAAGAACCGGATTTGCTTTTCCAATTTGTGGGGCATGGAAATAGATTTCAGAGTCAAAGACAAAAAAAGTAAATCTGCAGGGAAGAAATCTCTGAAGAGGCAACTGCAGCTATACACAAGTTCTTCGCGAGTCAGACTGAGCGATGCACACTTTCACTCTCCACTCCTTAGAGGACTGCAAGACATTAAAACGCAAGACTGGCGTCAGCTTCTCTCCACTACTGAGTTCTCTACGCCACTAGTTGCTGCCATGCTCGCACAGCCAGTTCAGAGGCCTATGTGAGATCAGAGACCTTTCATCCATTTAGACAAGTCAAAGCTTCTTGAACATGTTTTAATCACAAGATGATCGAGACGGGATTGATATATATAAATCCATAAAAAAATGTGTGTTTGTAATGGACAGGTAACTGACAACGAGTTCCCGATCGTGACTAGCTCACTTTCTGAAGCAGAAGCATCTATCTACAGCCAGTGGACTGGAGCATGCAATTCGGCTATTGATATCATTTCACTTGCCTTACCATTGGTGAAAGGAAATGGGTGTTCGATTGCTGAACTCATAAAGAACCAAGAGAAGGGTCCTAAACTGCATATCGACGCTGTAACAATCAAGTGATTGACAGGATAATCTAAAACAAGGAGTGAAGCTTCTCTTAATCAGCAATCAGATACTGGTTCGGTTCAATTCAGTATTATTTCAATCAAAACTAGTGTTAGCCGAGATGGCAGCAAACTTGAACCCTTGTTTAGAAATCAATATTGTATAATGAAAGGGGATATAGAAGCAGAGGAGAACAGTCGATGATCGGAGCTGACCTGGCCTTTTGGAAGCAAGCAGCGTAGAGCCGGCACGTTCCCCAGAAAAGTCGAATGTTTCCCCTGACTACAATTGCTCGAGAGCCAAGGCGTTGAAGACTTTATGTTAGCATGCTGGACATGCTAACATAGCCTTAGCAGAATCCTGTGTTCAAAGCTTTGTCCTGATTCGCAGCACAGCCTGTCCGCCCGTCTCCGAATTGTCTCAGTGGGACCTGATCAAACGCAACAGCGATTCATCTGATATAGCCCAGACTTGGCATTCTCCACAGTACTTATCTCTTGCTCCGCTCCCTTCCCATATATCCCCAAAGCAAGTACACTTCCCATTCGAGGAGGTGTACTTGCTTTGCTGCTCTCACTCCTCCTTGTTCTCCCGCTGCTGGAACAAGGTAGCCTTCGTACAACATGTCGAGGCACGAACCCATCGTGCTTTGTTGGAATCGGGCTCCAACAGCGGCGCTGCGTCGTGATCCTGCCACTGTTACTGTACCTTCCATTATTAATACTCTCACCGAGATTTGTCCGAAATGAGGACCAAGAGGGAACTGCCCTCCTGTTGCGCCACCACCGGTTTCCTACTTCCCAGCCAGACCGAAGCAAATTCGCAATTTACGCCACTGTCTTTCAAGCTCCTACTTCCTTATCCCTCCAAGGCTTTAAATTCGTATCGAAGCCATTCTGTGGGCATGAATCTTCGCCACTGCATTTGACGGATGATGACTGTGGAGCTGGATTGCCTGTGTGCACGGGATCGAATTCAAACCTGTGTTTGACACAGGTTTGAATTCGATGCGAGTGGTGGATGCTCATAATATTTGTGTGATTCAAACTTGTCGACATTGTTGGTAAGCTCTTCAGCATGAGAGGTCTGCAGACAGACACAGGATCCAAGGGGCAGAGGACTGCTGAGACAACAAGGCACTTTCACTCTCCAGTCTAGGAGAGAATAGAATCGCACAAGCATCCAGTGGATATGCCTCATTCCCCGTCTTTCTCTCCCCAGTTCTCCAAGGTCAGGCGTTAATGGTTCCTCTTGGAACATTGCCGGAAAGGATTTTTTATTCACTTATTATTTATTTTTCTTTCTATGATGTGTCAATTGCACAATCATTGAGCACAATTCTAAGCTGCTTCTTCCACGTCCTCTTCTAAGACTACTATTACCAGCCTTCGCCTTCTTGAGACTCGGAACCTTTTATTCGAGCTTTACGCTGTGCTTGAACGGAAACATCATCATCATCCTACACAAGCATAGGACCTGGCCATCTGATCATATTTGCCACGGATGATATAATTTTAGTCGCGATCGGCGAAAACCACTTCAATCGGGAGTGGTTTTTAGATTTTTGTATCAATCTATGAATTACGATTGCATGTTCTACCAGTATCTGTCATGAAGGCATGGATTAGACAGGAGCTGTTGAGGTGTTTTTTTTTTCCCTACATGATCTGAACTTTGATTGGCTCGTGTTGTGATGACAGATTAAGAGCTGACGACAGATAGTGGTGGGGTGCTCTCATAAGATCAGGATTAGACCTGATTCTATTGTATGATTGTTTCCTCGTGAAAACGACAAGTTTTTGAAAGCTGGAGAAGAAGCTGGAGCTGGGATAGTGCAAATTGACAACCTGGATGTGTGTTCTGAGAGAGGTGACGGTATTGTGTGGAAGTATCATGTTCTAAATTGTGCTCCATGACATTTTCCTAATGTGGATGACAGAGTTTGGACACCGAGCCTCGGTTTGAAGTTTTGGAGAAAGAGAGAAAAATAGTCCTCGAACCATGATGGAGGTTTCAGTCCCCAGCGGATTGCTCAGCAGCACAATGGCCTTGCAGTTGCATTGACTACGTTTTGACGTCCTCTTTGTCTTGCATGTAGCACATGTACAAAATGTGTTACAGCCCACTCTCTGCCACTCAGAAATCCACGTAAGAGTAAAATCTCCGCGCCACTAAGATGAGATCAGATCATGAGGCTTTGGAGAGCGAACTAATTTCACCTCATTTGTAACGAGGCATTGTGCTCGAGCTTAATACTACATAATAGTCAATCTAAATGATTTTTCTCGGTCTCATAGACACCACAGGGCGATGCATGAATTAGCAGAATGGGCAAGAGGAAGCCATCATGACTGAATAGTATGGAATGTGAGGTTATTTAAATATAATATGACTCATTATTTTTTGTTGAAAACAACGAATAAACTCGATGGTTTATTGGTAAGAGGTGGGTATTTTAAGTAGCCAAGAAATTTGGTTTATACGGTACATCTGCCTTAAATATAACTACCTAGAATGTAAGGGAAGAATACAAAGGAAATTCCGACATGTTATCCTAATCTTCTTAGTACACTGTACTCGCTAACTATTATACTAATAACACTCACTCTCTATCTCTAGTGTTTTTCGTTAGAGTTCTTCGGGATATTGTAACAATGGCACCGCATTGGATCCTAACAACATGTACTACATCACATAATCGAATATCAAATTCAGATTGGAACGAAAGTCGATGTATTGCAGTATAGTGAAGAGGACGTGGTACTAACCCGGTAGAATTATGTGGCTCCTAGTAACGACATTGTAGCTCAGCAACGCTGACTCCAGTCTTATAAAGAGACTACCTGAATGAATGTCGTATAACGAGCAAACTCCAATCAATTTCCTATGCTATTCAAATCTGTGTTTAGGTAGTGGCTTCGTGAGCAAATCTGCTGGATTCTCCTTGTGCTTGGTCTTGACTTGGAACAGAGGATTTTTTATTAGATTAATAGCACTATGATAGATGAAAATATGCCATGTTCGGTGTCCTTGCTTACCTAACATCATGAATGATAGTAGAATGAGGGCAGCAAAGCGAGAGAAGAGAAGGAAGTATTTACATTTTAAATTTTTTATAGCTTGAGATACAATCTCTTTGCCCCTTTCTCACAAGACGTTGTGAACAAAAATATAAGCTCCAATCTATCGGTGAGTATTAGTATAACTAAGGTAATTCGCTTAAGTGTAGCCTTGGACATGCGGTTCTTACTAAGTAAATGGAGTTTACACAGTATGAAAGAAGGGAGAAGGGAGGAAAGAGTTTTAGAGAGATCACTAGTAAACCTCCTTCAAAGACTCACTAATTGCACAAAATAAAGTGAAAGCGGGGTTAGAAAAAAAAATGGTAGAAAGCTCACCAAAGGAAAATGAAAACAAGCCAAGTTTATTGTCACATATAGAATGATGGAAATTCACAAGGTTAGAGTTATGATTGATACAAGAACAACAAACACAATTTTTTTCATTTTATGTTGCTATCATAAAACAAAATTATTTAATCTTCACTTCTTTTACCTAGAAGCCTTGAACGCTTAAGTCTACATGAAATTAAAGTCCATTTGGACTCGGTCAAACTATAGTGCTCTTTCATATGCTAGTAACAACAACAAATAGAAATGAAGAATGATATACAACATGCATGTATGTAGAAAAGCAAAAATGAAGTGAAAGAAGGTGTTGAATTGTCAAAAGTACAATAAAAAATTACAAGTATATTGCCATGGAGTGCAGATTTATATATAGTTAGACACACAAAAAGCATTAAAAGAAGAGTATGTTGTTTAGCTTGGTATGTCATGGATGAAGGAATATAATTTGAAGTTAGATTGAAGAAGTGATAACAAGTAGTGGTTGGACAATTTATGGAGATAAAACTACATTTCATAGCATGAACTTATGTCACTTTGTGATGGATAAAGCATTTATTTCTAAAGATGATGTATGTTTCGTTGGTCTCATAATAGATATTGTGTCTAGGAAAAAACTTTAGATCATAGAGTCATTAAAAAATATTTGTATGAAGTATAAAGATCTTTTTGAAAATGAACTAAGTATTAAATTATCACCAAAGAAATGTCTAAATTACAAGATTGAGTTGATATTTACGGGTACACAAACTTGCAAAGTTATATATTGTTTGGCTCCAAACAAATTAAAAGAATGCAAAGCTCAAATGAAATAGATGTTGAGCAATATATTTATTCAATTAAATATTTTTCCTGTGTTTAGCATTCCATTAGCATATTCCTCACATGTGTTTAACATATTCCCCAAATGTTTAGCATTCTATTGCTATTAGTGAAAAAAAAAATGAATCGATGAGATTATGCATATAATAACGTGGATTAAAGGTAAAGAAATAAAATATGCATTATCTCATATAGATGATTTTTTTTTACCAACTTCAAGAAACCAAGTAATTCACCAAATTTGATTTGTGGAGAAGTTACGATCAAACTTGAATTGCAAATAAAGATATTCACAATGTTACTTTCTATACTAAATATGACATCTTTAAATATCTAGTGAAGTTAATAGTTCTCATTTATGCATCAATTACGTTTATGAAATTAAGGAATAAAATCTTTTGTAACTATCTTAAAAAATCAATTACTGTTATTCTAAATGATATTTTGTTATATAGCATAACTTTGAATGATCATATACTTTATTTACAATAAGTATTTCAATTTTCAAGAACCAATCAATTGTATGTCAAAACTTTAAAATGTAAATTTGACAAGTGTGAAGTAAACTACTTGAGTCATAGAGTTATAAACAAAGGAATGCAAATGATGAATGAGAAGATAGAAATCATTAAAAAATGAACAACATTTAAATATATAACTCAAGGAACAAATTTTCTAGAACTCATTGGATTTTATACTAGATTTGTGAAAGTTTTTACTTGCCTAGTTCAAAACTTGATATATATGCTAGAAAAATATCAAAATAAGATATGAGTAAGAGCTCAAGAGTTGTACTTTTAAGCATTGAAATATGCTTTATTACAAGCATACATATTCAAATAATATGTTACTAATTGTTTATCAAGTTGATTATGAATGCATCAGATATAAAAATGAGTGACATACTTCAACAATAGTGTTCGAGTAACTTTACTTTGAAATTAAACACTATGAGTATTGTAACATCAAGTTAATTTTCACTTAGGTTTATCTCCGATGGCTTTGCTATAGCTTATCATGTAACTAGAAGGCTACGATACCTCCTCATGACCATGTTCCAAACACTCCACTCATCACTCAATTCCAAAAACACATTGATACTCAAAGATATTGAAAATCACACTTCATTGATGAAACAAGTTTCCACACATGAGAGTTCTAAAACTTTCTTGAGAGTTTGTACTCTAATTTTCTATTTATATTAATTGAAAAATTAATATAGTGACATGTGGTAATTATGTACTTATTTTCACTAAGATAAACCTTTGTAGCATTGACCAACATTTCATAAGTGGCAACATGTCATTGGCTTACTAAAAACTTTTAGAACCTCCTAAACCCAAGATATAAATGGCAACATAACATTGGAGACTTTCAAAAATCTAAAATTTTAATTTTTCTCTAAATCAACATTGATTTTAGTTTAACCAATGATCTTTCAAACATTAAGTCAAAACAATCAAATCTAATATTGTAAGCAAAAGTATTTTGTCTTGGAATTTAGACTTTTGTAAACAAAAAAATAGAAGTGATCACTCCAATATTTTACAACTCATTTACTTATTTTGCTAGCATTTGACATTACAGATAAATTTAGTCATGACTAGATAAACTTAATTGAAATTAATTAGATTTAATCACAACTAGCTAGATTAATCTATGTCGAATCTAATCACAATCAAATCTTTGGTTACTTCTAATACCAATACACACATACAACATCCTATTTTACAGTACAATGTTTTTTTATTTTTCCTCAAGATGCAGAATCAACTTATAAACTATGTGGAAATTATATTTAAATTTGACTAGCATCATCTTGCGAGATTTCTTCATGAAAATCAAACAAACCTTAAAAAACCTACGTAATAAAGGTAGTTTGTCCCCCCTAGTTTTGTTATTATAGAGCAATTTTAGAAGAAATGTGATCATGCAACACATTTTAGTTTATGCATGTGTTTCATTAAAGTTGAAGCAAATTTGAGGAATGAAATGACATCATTACTTGAACATGAAAATTGTGTATGTGAAAGACAATAGAAAACTAACATATGCTTTTATACACATGTTTTTTTGGAATCATGTTGGAAAAGTCAAAATTCAAATCGATTGGTGGAAAAAGATAACGTAGTCCAGAAAGTATGATCATTAAAACACTACAAGTTGGTAAGATAAAGAAATTTGAAGGTTTGGCATTTCACAAGCAACATATATGAATTTCACAAGATGAGAAGTAACTCATAATGGTTTTGATCAAAAGTCATGATTTAACTATTGCAGTTCATTTGAGAATCAAGAAAACCTTTGAGATGATATAATGAGTATACAATTGTGTTCTTGCGTTGCTTGTTAACAAAACAAAGCATATAACAAAAAATCATCAAACTTATTATAATCTCTTCCTATTCTTGAACAAAAATGGTAGCATATCTTATGGATGTTATATGTAAATTATTTTGTTATGACATGTTTCAATAATGGTTTTTGTAGATAAATTTAGCAAGATGATTCACATCAGACTAACCAAAAACTTAGTTTTTAATTTTTTCAAAACAAAACTAAAATTGTCAAACTTGTTTCATGGCTTTCAACTGAGCCGCAGAACCGACGCAACTCACAGATAATCCCACGTTAAAAGCTGGTCGACTTTCACGATAAAAGAGTTCTGTTTCCAAAAAGATTTGAGAGAGTAGCCCGGAGGCTCTCAAAGATCCGAACACAGGAGCCAATCCAACCGGTTACTGAAGAGGAGACTATCATAGTCAAATTGATGGACAAACGAAAAAACAAATAGATTCATAGAGTATATGCTACAAGCATTCCACTCAAAAAGCAAAAAAAAAAAGTAAAACACTCTTTTGACTATTGTGAAATTTGTATATAAAATTTTTGTTATTGCATTCATATAAGTGTTTTCATTTTATATCATGTATGATGTTCATCATGTAATTACTTCAAGTTTGATGCGATTTCCAAAAATACAAGAGTTTTGATATAACACACTCACACAAGAATGTATCATGTCAAAAAGTTGTTGATAGTTCAAAATAAATGAAAACAACATGCAATGAGTTGAAGTATTGTGAAGTGTTAAGTTTGGAACTACAAATCATGTTTTGTTATCTACAAAACATTTATCTCTTGTAAAAACATCAAAATTTAATTTTAGCATTTTTAGTTATGAAACATGTTAAAGAATTGTCAAGCAAATTAAAATTTTTGTCACATATGAAAATACCTCTAATAATTCATGGTTACGTTTGCAAAAACATGTTTCATAACTATCACAAATCACAAACCAATCAATTTTATATCCTATTTAAATTTTGATGATTGATCATGAGCAATTTAAAATAGAAAAGATATTCTAGCAATGTCTCTAAAGTCATAGATATTCCAAAACAAAGTATTAGATTTCATACAAAATTTGTCTATAATATGAATTTACTTGAAAATCAATTTAAAGTTTAGTTCAAGAATTTTAAAGTATGTGCAACAAAAACATTAAAAGTATAAAGATTTATTGCGAAGAAGAAGCGAGCAGAAGGCAACCACATCAACTCCGAGGGTACTAAGTCAAAATCCACATCGGGCTGCAAGGAGAAAGTAGAATTCACAGACACCATGTAGAGGAAAGTTCTGATTAGGCGTCCCGAGCACCTTGCGGCGTCATGGCCTGTGACTCGTCTTCTCGTTTTGCAAGTTTTGCATGGAGTTCGCGGTTGGCTTCGACGCAGATGTGGCTGGTACCAAGTTGCTGCCCATGCTCTTTACACTACTCTTCTGACGAATGCTTCTCCCGTTCCGACCGCACAGGGCAAGTCGCACGACAGAATGCTGCGAGGAGGTCCTTCAGATGGTGCAGGCGTCAACTTTGTATCTTGTCTGATGCAAGTTGGCAAGTTGCCCACTTGAGATTCTGTGACGGCCTGCTCCATAAGGGAGGGCTCTCCTACAGGGTCCTCTGTGAGCGACACCCCAGAAAGTGGGAGGAGGAAGTCCCTCGAATTCCATTGGGATCATTCGGGTTGCGTGTTCTGTCTACCGGTCAGAACACATTCCATACACTGCTCGGTCGTTCCTGGCCCCCACAGCTCTGCCGCCACGGCAGTCGCCACATGGGCCTTCATTGGAATCATCAATCTTACAGGACACATTATTTTCCAGGTCTTTCAAACTTCAGATTCGAAATTTAAGGTAACAGACTGATATCAAGTGATTGAAACAAAACTATGGCTTTAAATTTTTTTTGAAGCTTGATCTAGCTTAGGAAACGGATTCTAATACAACTCAGGGAATTTATCTGATTTTGTTTAAATGGCAGCCTTGAACATCTCATCAGGACTGAACAGATGAATGGCCTTCAGATTGAGAAATGCTCGTGCAACTTTCGAATAATCGTAACTAACACATTGAGGCCGTTCATCGGGACATGAGCAGTTTTTTCTCTTGATTTACAGTGAAACCTGAGAATGAGCATATTCAACATTTACGTGATGTTTTCATGCGAACGAAGCACTCACCTTCAAGCTTCGATGTTGAGTACATGGACAGTTGACACCCGAAATGTATTACAGCATTGCACGAGGGCGAGCCGAAACTGGGGCGCTGCAGCCTGGCACTCAATTTTCAACAGTGTAGAGGATCTCAGCAAGTCCAGCCTCCCCAACTCTTCCAAACTTTGCACACAGCATTCGATTCGTTGACTCTCTGATTCACTGTGGAGAGTTTCATAGTGGGTCAAGAGTCAGCGAATCGAATGTGAAGGTCAGTAGTGGAAGTTGAGGCTGGATTTCTCCCACAGCTTTGCACATTCCTCAAAGTTGTATCATCCGATGATTTCCACCTCAGAAGCAGGTCGCACCTCTAAAGGGGCGATCGTAGAAGGCAAGCTTGGGAAGCATGTGAATGTGTGATGGCATGATGGAGTTGTGTGTCCAGTCGAAGAGTTCACTCGACGTGTGACTACGGTATGCTGGATATAATATTCAGCTCAGAGACATGATCCCATGAACAGCTCGTCCCGTGGCCGCGGCTTCGTACTTTGTCCTCGAAGTGAAAGCGGACGGGAAGCTTGTCCGAGCATCTCTCCAGGCCTCTTCTATCCCGCTCGAGTCGAGTTCGGCCCCACTCGCTGCCTTCCAGAACCATCAAAATAGTTTCGAAGGTACAGGCAGGAAGCAATAGAAACATATTGACGAATTTATTAAGTATTGTGATTATGAAGTGGGAGCTCGCTTGGAAGTGAAATGAATAAATTCCACTTAGACTCAACGAATTTTTTTTCCCTCGAATGTCTGCTGCGAGGCATTGTTTTTGGTTCTCAATTTCTACATTGTCAGTGAAAATATCTTCAATTCGCTCTTTTCTCCAAAGTGGTGTCAATCATGGGATTCTCTTAAATTTACATTTTTTTAAATGAAATGTAATGAAATATAATGAGTAGAGAAGACAGAGAGTTAGAATCATCGTACTGTGTGTCAAAAACAAAAATGAACATCTTAGGCGGCAACTGGGGAATCCCAACACTGTGATACATGGGAAGGTTTCCAAAGAGTAAGTGATGCATAATAAATCCATGTGAAAAAATTTCCAAACAAATCATATTTTCATTTCCCCACCAATGCACCAATGGTCTCCACCGATTCCTTCAATGCAGCAAAACCATCATCCCATATCACTGATATGGGATGCGCATGGAAACGAGGAGGCTCAGGTACTCGCGCAGATGGCTGTGGGCTCGATCGAGCATTCGCAAAAATGGCATGGAAATGAAGCCGATGTGCCACGAGCACGTCCAGAAATTCAGCATGGAGCTACACGAAGAAAATTTGCCATCCATCGATCTGAGCAGTGACAGAGTAGCAGCCGAGCGAGAGTCAACGCCATGGAAGAAGGAACTTTGGTTCTGTGGAGCATCCCGAGAAAGCACTCTGATGTAAAAAGCATAAGACGATAGAGCGCAAGTCATCGGCATTGTGAATGCAGCCCGGGCGATGTGGTATTTCTGTTCGTAGGCCGGATCGATCGCTGCTCGAAAAATATAGGCACTGTGCCTCGACGTCGGTAGATCGACCGCCCACGAGATCGACGAGCACTCGAGGATTTGTGCTGGAATCGGCGGTTGCTGCTGCTGCTGCTGGGAGGTAGCCGAGCTTCTATCCACGATGGAATCTCCACCCGAGGCCGACCCGATGGCAGAACAAACAAAGAAATTTAAGGTGATGGCGATCTGCAACCGATTATCAGCCACCGTGAGCTCAATTCTTTGGTTTCACAAGAATTGCTGCTGCTGCTGCTCGACGTTGAAATGTGGTCTGTTGTCCATGTCTACAGAGATTGGGCGAGTACGTGTACGAGCTCCAGCACGAGGAGGACCCGGAGGCCGTGATCGTGTTCTTCCACGGCCTTTTGATTCAGGAGACGGACACGGGCCACGCTTTCTGGAGCACGTGGACGAAGCGAAATACTCTCGAATGCTGGCCCGTGACGATGCTTCCGGAATTTTTGCAATGGGGGGCGGATTCCTCTCGCCCTTTCAGAATTCGTGTGCTCGCGGTCTCGTATGAGGGACGGATGAGCGTGCATCCAGACATCGGGACGGCCGGGACCGACAAGTACCTTCTCGCCGAGAGTTTAATCAGTGAGCTCATTCTGAGCCCTCAGGACTTGATTCGAGGATCGAGGGCGGTGGAGGACAATAAAGTCCCCGTCTTTCTGGTCGGCCACGACCTCGGAGGGATCATAATTAAGAATTTCGTCATGGAAGTGGAGAGGACAATTTACGACAAGAAGGAAGACGCCGATAGAAAAAAAATGCAGAATTTTCTCAGCAATCTGAAAGCTGTGTTCTTCTACGCCACACCTCACAATGGATCGCAAGCCATCGAGGACTTGGCCCAGCAAATCCCCGAAGACTCACGCAATCAGATGCTCACTCTGATGAGCGTTCTCGGTACTGATATGGCGAGAATCAACTCATATTTCAGAACTTATCGGTCCGAGATTTTCCACCATCGGGTCCTTCTACGATTCAAAACTTACGGCATCGTTCCAACGAGTTTAACCAACCAGGTATGGCGCTGTCACACCTTCCAGTTCCAGAAATCGACGGATCCGTGGATGACAGCTCCAGCGAGAGCGTCGAGATTGGAAGCTTGTGTTAGAGACTGCCCCAACCCTGCACGTAGAAATATGGACAATGCTTAGATTTATTCTAATCAGAGTTGCTCTTCATCGCCGCAGTCATCGATTCGAGTAGAGAAACGAAGTATCATGTGCGTGAAGTTTTGACTTTTGCGTTGTCCCGTGCAGAGAGGTTTCGACAGGACGATGGTCGTCCCGGAAGCATCTGCTAGATATGATATGGACACATTTTTCTTCGTTGAAGCTGATCACTTTCAGGTTTGCCAGCCTGAAAGGCTGGCAAGGTTCGATCCCATAACGAAACTCGGTGAGAAAGTTTACAAGGAGGTGTCGAAAATCAGACAATTAGAAGACTTGAGGATATTCAATGCACAAAGACCAGTATTAGAACCCTACGGCCGGAGTGGATGGTCTGGCTCTCAAAATTTGCAAGCTTGGTTTATGATGGCTGTGGAGCACAGGAGGCTCAGAGAATTAGAAGACTTGAGGATATTCAATGCACAAAGACAAGTATTAGAACCCTCCAGCTGGAGTGAAAGGTTTCTCTCTCAACCACCTGGAATCAAAGCTTTACGTAAAGGGAAGTTCCGCCAGGTATTTCTCTAGCGCCGCAGGCGCAAAATTTTTTCTCGACCGCGTGTTCACGATCTGTAGCTCACAATCTGTAGACCCTTCCTGTGCTTGGGGGGGGGGGGGGGGGGGGGGGGTGAGCTTAAGGGCACGCCCCCCCCCCCCCCCCCCCCCCCCCCACATAGCATGGCAGCAACTATGGGCATAGAGAATTCAGAAGTAAAGAGTAGCTGACGCGGGTCCTGTGGTTTAATTTCTTGCGTTCCTTTAAGGCGTGGAGAGTGAAAGCCTGCATCGCCCAGTCTCGATGCTGCAGGCGAACGTTGAGTGGTAGTACAGTAGGCACTAGAATATGTGATTAATCCAATCCTATGTATTGCATGTCAAGGAATCCTTTAGATGCCAAATCCGCCTTTAGAGATTTCTGCAATAGACAATTCTGAGACACCAAGGACAATTGGTGTCTCAATTGTTGTCTTCCTTATCTTTATCTCTATAGTTATCTCTATAGGTAGCGAAATTATGCTTTGATCGTTCATGGTTTACTTTCTTTCAATTCCGAGCATCCTGCAAAGTCCATTACCGATTTTATAATTATCTTTTATCTATAGCTTTTATATTACAACTCTATTGCGGAAAACGATTGGAATGTCCTCGAGTTTTGTACTTCTCGTACGTTAGAGGAAGTGTTAGGAGAAAATTTTGAAGTTTTTTGTTTTTGCAAAGTAAAATTGTAAAGTTGTTATCCCTTGACATATCTCCCATGCGATGTGTTCAGTGGAAAGAAAATCTCAAGATAAGAGAGTACGAGGACCGAGTCGAGAAATCTCGCAAATATGAAAAACGCCCGAACTCTATTGATATGACTGAAGCCGAGGTCACTTCCACCGACTTCTCTTAATATCGAGATTTTACAAATGGATGGAGTGCTGCAGAACCTTTTATGCTTCTCTATATACGGTGTCTCCATTTTGGCCAGAGCTGTTGGGCATGAGTTTCTACTGATCTTGCTAGAAAATGCTGCAGGTCGCGAAAACTGCCACGGATGAGCAAGTCCTGCCGCAGATACAAGTCGGTCTAGTCGAGAAATCTCGCAAAGATAAAAAACGCCCGAACTCTATTGATATGAGTGAAGCCGAGGTCACTTCCACCGACTTCTCTTAATATCGAGATTTTACAAATAGATAGAGTGCTGCAGAACCTTTTTTATGCTTCTCTACATACGGTGTCTCCAGTTTGGCAAGAGCTGTTGGGCATGAGTTTCTACTGATCTTGCTAGAAGATGCTGCAGGTCGCGAAAACTGCAACGGATGAGCAAGTCCTGCCGCAGATACAAGTCGGTCTTGTCGAGAAATCTCGCAAAGATGAAAAACGCCCGAACTCTATTGATATGAGTGAAGCCGAGGTCACTTCCACCGACTTCTCTTAGTATCGAGGTTTTACAAATGGATAGAGTGCTGCAGAACCTTTTATGCTTCTCTATATACGGTGTCTCCATTTTGGCAAGATATGTTGGGCATGAGTTTCTACTGATCTTGCTAGAAAATGCTGCAGGTCGCGAAAACTGCAACGGATGAGCAAGTCCTGCCGCAGATACAAGTCGGTCTAGTGGAGAAATCTCGCAAAGATGAAAAACGCCCGAACTCTATTGATATGACTGAAGCCGAGGTCACTTCCACCGACTTCTCTTAGTGTCGAGGTTTTACAAATGGATAGAGTGCTGCAGAACCTTTTATGCTTCTCTATATACGGTGTCTCCATTTTGGCAAGATATGTTGGGCATGAGTTTCTACTGATCTTGCTAGAAAATGCTGCAGGTCGCGAAAACTGCAACGGATGAGCAAGTCCTGCCGCAGATACAAGTCGGTCTAGTCGAGAAATCTCGCAAAGATGAAAAACGCCCGAACTCTATTGATATGACTGAAGCCGAGGTGACTTCCACCGACTTCTCTTAGTATCGAGGTTTTACAAATGGAGAGAGTGCTGCAGAACCTTTTATGCTTCTCTATATACGGTGTCTCCATTTTGGCCAGAGCTGTTGGGCATTAGTTTCTACTGATCTTGCTAGAAAATGCTGCAGGTCGCGAAAACTGCAACGGATGAGCAAGTCCTGCCGCAGATACAAGTCGGTCTAGTCGAGAAATCTCGCAAAGATGAAAAACGCCCGAACTCTATTGATATGAGTGAAGCCGAGGTCACTTCCACCGACTTCTCTTAGTATCGAGGTTTTACAAATGGATAGAGTGCTGCAGAACCTTTTATGCTTCTCTATATACGGTGTCCCCATTTTGGCAAGATATGTTGGGCATGAGTTTCTACTGATCTTGCTAAAAAATGCTGCAGGTCGCGAAAACTGCAACGGATGAGCAAGTCCTGCCGCAGATACAAGTCGGTCTAGTGGAGAAATCTCGCAAAGATGAAAAACGCCCGAACTCTATTGATATGAGTGAAGCCGAGGTCACTTCCACCGACTTCTCTTAGTATCGAAGTTTTACAAATGGATACAGTGCTGCAGAACCTTTTATGCTTCTCTATATACGGTGTCTCCATTTTGGCAAGATATGTTGGGCATGAGTTTCTACTGATCTTGCTAGAAAATGCTGCAGGTCGCGAAAACTGCAACGGATGAGCAAGTCCTGCCGCAGGTACAAGTCGGTCTAGTCGAGAAAACTCGCATAGATGAAAAACGCCCGAACTCTATTGATATGAGTGAAGCCGAGGTCACTTCCACCGACTTCTCTTAGTATCGAGGTTTTACAAATGGATAGAGTGCTGCAGAACCTTTTATGCTTCTCTATATACGGTGTCTCCATTTTGGCAAGATATGTTGGGCATGAGTTTCTACTGATCTTACTAGAAAATGCTGCAGGTCGCGAAAACTGCAACGGATGAGCAAGTCCTGCCGCAGATACAAGTCGGTGTAGTCGAGAAATCTCGCAAAGATGAAAAACGCCCGAACTCTATTGATATGAGTGAAGCCGAGGTCACTTCCACCGACTTCTCTTGGTATCGAGGTTTTACAAATGGATAGAGTGCTGCAGAACCTTTTATGCTTCTCTATATACGGTGTCTCCATTTTGGCAAGATATGTTGGGTATGAGTTTCTACTGATCTTGCTAGAAAATGCTGCAGGTCACGAAAACTGGACTGGATGAGCAAGTCCTGCCACAGATACAAGTCGATCTAGTCGAGAAATCTCGCAAAGATGAAAAACGCCCGAACTCTATTGATATGACTGAAGCCGAGGTCACTTCCACCGACTTCTCTTAGTATCGAGGTTTTACAAATGGATGGAGTGCTGCAGAACCTTTTATGCTTCTCTATATACAGTGTCTCCATTTTGGCAAGAGCTGTTGGGCATGAGTTTCTACTGATCTTGCTAGAAGATGCTGCAGGTCGCGAAAACTGCACTGGATAAGCAAGTCCTGCCGCAGATACAAGTCGGTCTAGTGGAGAAATCTCGCAAAGATGAAAAACGCCCGAACTCTATTGATATGACTGAAGCCGAGGTCACTTCCACCGACTTCTCTTAGTATCGAGGTTTTACAAATGGAGAGAGTGCTGCAGAACCTTTTATGCTTCTCTATATACGGTGTCTCCATTTTGGAAAGATATGTTGGGCATGAGTTTCTACTGATCTTGCTAGAAAATGCTGCAGGTCGCGAAAACTGCACTGGATGAGCAAGTCCTGCCGCAGATACAAGTCGATCTAGTAGAGAAATCTCGCAAAGATGAAAAAAGCCCGAACTCTATTGATATGAGTGAAGCCGAGGTCACTTCCACCGACTTCTCTTAGTATCGAGGTTTTACAAATGGATAGAGTGCTGCAGAACCTTTTATGCTTCTCTATATACGGTGTCTCCATTTTGGCAAGATATGTTGGGTATGAGTTTCTACTGATCTTGCTAGAAAATGCTGCAGGTCACGAAAACTGCACTGGATGAGCAAGTCCTGCCACAGATACAAGTCGGTCTAGTCGAGAAATCTCGCAAAGATGAAAAACGCCCGAACTCCATTGATATGAGTGAAGCCGAGGTCACTTCCACCGACTTCTCTTAGTATCGAGGTTTTACAAATGGATAGAGTGCTGCAGAACCTTTTATGCTTCTCTATATACGGTGTCTCCATTTTGGCAAGATATGTTGGGCATGAGTTTCTACTGATCTTGCTAGAAAATGCTGCAGGTCGCGAAAACTGGAACTGATGAGCAAGTCCTGCCGCAGATACAAGTCGATCTAGTCGAGAAATCTCGCAAAGATGAAAAACGCCCGAACTCTATTGATATGACTGAAGCCGAGGTCACTTCCACCGACTTCTCTTAGTATCGAGGTTTTACAAATGGATGGAGTGCTGCAGAACCTTTTATGCTTCTCTATATACAGTGTCTCCATTTTGGCAAGATATGTTGGGCATGAGTTTCTACTGATCTTGCTAGAAGATGCTGCAGGTCGCGAAAACTGCACTGGATGAGCATGTCCTGCCGCAGATACAAGTCGATCTAGTTGAGAAATCTCGCAAAGATGAAAAAAGCCCGAACTCTATTGATATGAGTGAAGCCGAGGTTACTTCCACCGACTTCTCTTAGTATCGAGGTTTTACAAATGGATAGAGTGCTGCAGAACCTTTTATGCTTCTCTATATACGGTGTCCCCATTTTGGCAAGATATGTTGGGCATGAGTTTCTACTGATCTTGCTAGAAAATGCTGCAGGTCGCGAAAACTGCAACGAATGAGCAAGTCCTGCCGCAGATACAAGTCGGTCTAGTCGAGAAATCTCGCATAGATGAAAAACGCCCGAACTCTATTGATATGAGTGAAGCCGAGGTCACTTCCGCCGACTTCTCTTAGTATCGAGTTTTACAAATGGATAGAGTGCTGCAGAACCGTTTATGCTTCTCTATATACGGTTTCTCCATTTTGGCAAAATATGTTGGGCATGAGTTTCTACTGATCTTGCTAGAAAATTCTGCAGGTCGCGAAAACTGCAACGGATGAGCAAGTCCTGCCGCAGATACAGGTCGGTCTAGTCGAGAAATCTCGCAAAGATGAAAAACGCCCGAACTCTATTGATATGACTGAAGCCGAGGTCACTTCCACCGACTTCTCTTGGTATCGAGGTTTTACAAATGGATAGAGTGCTGCAGAACCTTTTATGCTTCTCTATATACGGTGTGTCCATTTTGGCAAGATATGTTGGGTATGAGTTTCTACTGATCTTGCTAGAAAATGCTGCAGGTCGCGAAAACTGCACTGGATGGGCAAGTCCTGCCGCAGATACAAGTCGGTCTTGTCGAGAAATCTCGCAAAGATGAAAAACGCCCGAACTCTATTGATATGACTGAAGCCGAGGTCACTTCCACCGACTTCTCTTAGTATCGAGGTTTTACAAATGGATAGAGTGCTGCAGAACCTTTTATGCTTCTCTATATACAGTGTCTCCATTTTGGCAAGAGCTGTTGGGCATGAGTTTCTACTGATCTTGCTAGAAGATGCTGCAGGTCGCGAAAACTGCACTGGATAAGCAAGTCCTGCCGCAGATACAAGTCGGTCTTGTCGAGAAATCTCGCAAAGATGAAAAACGCCCGAACTCTATTGATATGAGTGAAGCCGAGGTCACTTCCACCGACTTCTCTTAGTATCGAGGTTTTACAAATGGAGAGAGTTCTGCAGAATCTTTTATGCTTCTCTATATACAGTGTCTCCATTTTGGCAAGATATGTTGGGCATAAGTTTCTACTGATCTTGCTAGAAAATGCTGCAGGTCGCGAAAACTGCACTGGATGAGCAAGTCCTGCCGCAGATACAAGTCGATCTAGTTGAGAAATCTCGCAAAGATGAAAAAAGCCCGAACTCTATTGATATGAGTGAAGCCGAGGTTACTTCCACCGACTTCTCTTAGTATCGAGGTTTTACAAATGGATAGAGTGCTGCAGACCCTTTTATGCTTCTCTATATACGGTGTCCCCATTTTGGCAAGATATGTTGGGCATGAGTTTCTACTGATCTTGCTAGAAAATGCTGCAGGTCGCGAAAACTGCAACGGATGAGCAAGTCCTGCCGCAGATACAAGTCGGTCTAGTCGAGAAATCTCGCATAGATGAAAAACGCCCGAACTCTATTGATATGAGTGAAGCCGAGGTCACTTCCACCGACTTCTCTTAGTATCGAGTTTTACAAATGGATAGAGTGCTGCAGAACCGTTTATGCTTCTCTATATACGGTGTCTCCAGTTTGGCAAAATATGTTGGGCATGAGTTTCTACTGATCTTGCTAGAAAATGCTGCAGGTCGCGAAAACTGCAACGGATGAGCAAGTCCTGCCGCAGATACAGGTCGGTCTAGTCGAGAAATCTCGCAAAGATGAAAAACGCCCGAACTCTATTGATATGACTGAAGCCGAGGTCACTTCCACCGACTTCTCTTGGTATCGAGGTTTTACAAATGGATAGAGTGCTGCAGAACCTTTTATGCTTCTCTATATACGGTGTGTCCATTTTGGCAAGATATGTTGGGTATGAGTTTCTACTGATCTTGCTAGAAAATGCTGCAGGTCGCGAAAACTGCACTGGATGGGCAAGTCCTGCCGCAGATACAAGTCGGTCTTGTCGAGAAATCTCGCAAAGATGAAAAACGCCCGAACTCTATTGATATGAGTGAAGCCGAGGTCACTTCCACCGACTTCTCTTAGTATCGAGGTTTTACAAATGGATAGAGTGCTGCAGAACCTTTTATGCTTCTCTATATATGGTGTGTCCATTTTGGCAAGATATGTTGGGCATGAGTTTCTACTGATCTTGCTAGAAAATGCTGCAGGTCGCGAAAACTGCAACGGATGAGCAAGTCCTGCCGCAGATACAAGTCGATCTAGTCGAGAAATCTCGCAAAGATGAAAAACGCCCGAACTCTATTGATATGAGTGAAGCCGAGGTCACTTCCACCGACTTCTCTTAGTATCGAGGTTTTACAAATGGATACAGTGCTGCAGAACCTTTTATGCTTCTCTATATACAGTGTCTCCATTTTGGCAAGATATGTTGGGCATGAGTTTCTACTGATCTTGCTAGAAATGCTGCAGGTCGCGAAAACTGCACTGGATGAGCAAGTCCTGCCGCAGATACATGTCGGTCTAGTGGAGAAATCTCGCAAAGATGAAAAACGCCCGAACTCTATTGATATGAGTGAAGCCGAGGTCACTTCCACCGACTTCTCTTAGTATCGAGGTTTTACAAATGGATAGAGTGCTGCAGAACCTTTTATGCTTCTCTATATACGGTGTGTCCATTTTGGCAAGATATGTTGGGCATGAGTTTCTACTGATCTTGCTAGAAAATGCTGCAGGTCGCGAAAACTGCAACGGATGAGCAAGTCCTGCCGCAGATACAAGTCGATCTAGTCGAGAAATCTCGCAAAGATGAAAAACGCCCGAACTCTATTGTTATGAGTGAAGCCGAGGTTACTTCCACCGACTTCTCTTAGTATCGAGGTTTTACAAATGGATAGAGTGCTGCAGAACCTTTTATGCTTCTCTATATACGGTGTCTCCATTTTGGCAAGATATGTTGGGCATGAGTTTTTACTGATCTTGCTAGAAAATGCTGCAGGTCGCGAAAACTGCAACGGATGAGCAAGTCCTGCCGCAGATACAAGTCGATCTAGTCGAGAAATCTCGCAAAGATGAAAAACGCCCGAACTCTATTGATATGAGTGAAGCCGAGGTCACTTCCACCGACTTCTCTTAGTATCGAGGTTTTACAAGGACCTTCTATGCTTCCAGTTTCGCAAAAGATCATGGGCATGGAATTCTGCTGTTTCCTAGTTACAATTTTTCTAAATTCCTGGTCTCCGGATCCCGGATTGCAGGAAGTCTGGAGTGCACATCGTGCTGGAAGCTTCAGAGAATCTGCTTGGGAAGAGGTGCGGGAATCTCGCTCAGTTTCGTCACAGCAAGGCTTGACTTCATTCTCGTTTTAGCCTCTGACAATTGTTATTTTATTCATTCTTTCTGCATAATAAAACATGTGAGTTCGAGTAGTAGCATAAGAAAGTGTTTAATTCATTATTCCTTACGTTTAAAGGTAGCGAAATTATGATTTGATCATGTGCAAGTTTACCTACAAGCATCCTGCAAACGCCATTACCGATTTTCCAATCATATTCATCATGAGATCTTTTCATGGCTATTATATTTCAACTCTCTCTTGCAGGTAATGATTGGAATGTCCTCGTGGTTTCTCCTCCTCATAACCCTAGAGATAATGTTATGACAAAAAATGTTGACTTTTTTCTTGTTGTTAAGTAAAACTGTGAAGTTGTTCTCCATTGACTATAATCTCTCATGCGATGTGTTCAGGAGAATGATTCAGTTCACGTGCTGAAGTCTGCGGAGCTCTCAAGAAAATCTACTCTCGACTCTGTGTTCTTCCATGGTCTTCAGTTAAGACCTATGCCTGAACCACATAAGTTTACGTGGATATCTCAATCTGAGCCATCAGAAGTATGGTTGAAATGGCTTCACGAAATTCACCCGACCATGCGTATAATAGCAGTCTCCTACGATGCCAGCATGAAGGAGGATAGCAAGAATGGGAGTATGGATTTATATCAGGTGGCAGAAAACTTGTTGTCTAAGCTGATACTGGCAGGTGTTGGTCAAAGCGGACCAATCATATTCGTTGGTCATAATTTCGGAGGAATAATTGCAAAAGCAATTTCTCGACAAGCTCACTTTCGACACAGCCTATATGAGAATGACACAGATATAACCAATTTTCTTGAAAACCTGAGAGGCCTCTTCTACTTCGGAGTGCCTCATCGTGGAAGCTCATTCACAGATATTGTAGAACAACTCAGCATCGTGAAAGGACAGTTGGTTGACTACGTGAAGGTTTCCAGCAAAGAATTGTCGAGACTCAATGAAGATCATGACGCTCTTTGTAAACGCTACGATTGGAAGGTCGCAGGCGTGGGTGAATCGTTACCTACGAATCTGGTACCTCCAGTAATCATTCTGCATAGTAGCTCGTTTGGACATATTTATTATGTGATTGCTTCTTTTCAGTAGTGAGAGAGAAGCTGGAATGCGTGCATTCGCATTGCAATAGACTGAAAGGCTCTTCGGTAAAAATTTCTAATGTACCTAAATTTACCTACACTTGCTTCAATCAACCAATATCTGCTTCAGTTCTAATGTACAGTACTCACTTATTCCTCTCCAGGGAAACGGATTCTGTGGAGTCATAGTTGACAAGGCATCTGCAAGATGTAGAAACTTCATGATAGTCGACCAAGACCACTCTTCACTCTGCCAACCAGAGAGTAGAAATAGCAGCTCGTATCTGCACTTAAAAGAATTTATTGATAGGATTCAAGCCCAGGTAAATTCCACCGACTTCTCTTAATATCGAGATTTTACAAATGGATAGAGTGCTGCAGAACCTTTTATGCTTCTCTATATACGGTGTCTCCATTTTGGCAAAATATGTTGGGCATGAGTTTCTACTGATCTTGCTAGAAAATGCTGCAGGTCACGAAAACTGCAACAGATGAGCAAGTCCTGCCGCAGATACAAGTCGGTCTACTCGAGAAATCTCGGAAAGATGAAGAATTCCAGCAACAACTGGTCAAACATACAGCTTTGGGATTTTGGGGGATGGTAGGAGTTGGGAAAACCACACTCTGCAAAGCTATTTTCAATGATCTATGGAACGCCTTTCCTTACACGCTTTTCGCTGAGGGCGTCAAGCAGATTCCTGGTGACGAGAGAGAATTCGAGGAGACGGTGTTGTGTCTCGTGCATCACAAAGGCAAGAAGATTACCCCAGCACCTAACTTGGTCCAGCTGAGAGGGAAGAAGTTACTGGTGGCGTTCGATGACGTAGAAAAGGACAGGGAAATCGATCTGCTCAGAAAGCTCAGCCGCACCTTGTTGGATAGTAGCCGCTACATCGTAACATCACAGAATCGACAGATGTTAAATAAGATCGATGGCATACACATATTTGAAGTTGCACCTTTAGATGGGGAGGAATCTAAACTGCTGTTCAAGACGCTTGCGTTCCCAGACAACCAACCTTTGCTCGGGTGGTAGGAAGAGTGGATGGAGGCTATAGTGCAAACGTGTGGAGGTCTGCCATTGACTTTGGAAATTGTAGCTAATTATCTGAAAGGGTGTATTTCTATAGACGTGTGGCAACAGATGCCCGAATATGTGGGGAATGCAGATCACGGAGAGACTGTTGGATTGGGTAAATTGTGGATGCAGCTGAAAACCAGCTACGACAATCTCGGGCCCGAGGAAAAGCAAATGTTTTTAGAAGCTGCAACATTTTTCCAAGAAAGGTTCGTGGAGAATCACGGGTGGAGACATGGCCAGAGACAGTGCACGTTATCCGAAGCTAAGGTTATTTGGAGTATGATGCATGGGAATGAAGCTCTACACTGGAGAACCCTCGTTGACCGGTCAATGGTTTCTGACGTTGCAGACGATTCAGTAATCAGGATCCATGAACTGTTTAAGGGCTTGGGCCACTCGTTAGCTGATACGGACGACTTCAAGATTCGGGTCGACAGTGTCGAAAACCTCTTAATGATTTTACAAGATGGCAAGCGGAAGATTAAGGTGACTCGCTACTTCCTTGAATACCAGCTCCCCGTTATGTTTCACATACTCTTCCAATTGGAGACAGAATGTGAGGAGAGGTACTTTCGCCCATGCAAGCATTTTCCAAAGGTCCTAGACCAAAGTTCTTACGTCACTGATAATCGTGTTTGTGAATATTTGAGCTGTCGTACATGTCATTTATTACCTTACAGCAACATATAATCTACTATGCATACAACAACACTACGTTGATCTACAACTTATCACCCATCGTTTAGAGTCAGTTCCAGGCTCTGCTTATCTATACGTTTTCGTCTTTTTATTAATTTACTTGAAGGTCGAAGCTTTCTTACGAGCATGTGCGTTGCCATTCAATGCAGAATGTGCACACGCTGCAGGTGGTATGTAAAGATATCTCTGGTGAGTTTTCTTCCACAAAACTTTGCTTTAAGTGCTTCAAACTACAACGTGGATGGTCTTCACACTGTGAACATCTCTCCCAGCGTCTTCCTTTACACAAACTTTGCAATATGAAAAGCCTGCGATGTCTACAATTGGTGGACTGTGAGATAGAAAAAGGCAAAGTGAAATTGCCTAGATCCGTTGTCGTGTTCCGCAGCCAGAACAGTGGGAAGTATATATCCTTCGGAGAGTCTAGCCCACTGGTGTACCTGTCAATGAAGGCTTTCAAAATAAAGCGCTTGCCAGAGTCTGTGTGTGGGCTGAGCAACCTTCACTTCCTAAACCTGGAAGCTGGAAACCTCCTTTCTTTGCCTGATAACTTTGGCAGCCTAAAGAAACTGCGGCAGCTGAAGCTTGTAACCCAGAAACTGAAGAGGCTTCCAGACTTTTTCAGCTCGTTGCAGGATCTTCTAAAAGTACATCTGGAGTGCGACCGGTTGAAGTTCCTGCCCGAAAGTATTGGCCACTTGAGACAGTTGCAAGAACTGAACCTTCAATGTCAAACTCTAGTCAGCTTGCCATCCTCTATCGGTGAACTGCATGCCCTTCAGGAGCTCAGCCTACGATGCAACTCACTTGAGATCTTGCCTGATCGTTTTCGTGAGCTGGTTGGTCTTCAAAAGCTAGAGTTGCGATGCGACAAACTCCAGAGTCTACCAGAGTCTTCTGCTAGACTGACGCAGTTGACGCAGTTGATCCTTGTGTGCCGGAAGCTTCGATGGTTGCCTCAATCCTTCCATGAATTGGAAGCGCTTCAGGACCTCTATCTTCAATGTGACAGTCTCGAAAGTTTACCAGAATCTCTTCGTTGTAGGCTGGAGAGAACTGAAGAGGCTTCCAGACTTTTTCAGCTCGTTGCAGGATCTTCAAAAAGTACATCTGGAGAGCGACCGGTTGAAGTTCCTGCCCGAAAGTATTGGCTACTTGAGACAGTTGTCAAACTGTCAGCTTCAATGTCAAACTCTAGTCAGCTTGCCATTCTCTATCGGTGAACTGCATGCCCTTCAGGAGCTCAGCCTACGATGCAACTCACTTGAGATCTTGCCTGATCGTTTTTGTGAGCTGGTTGGTCTTCAAAAGCTAGAGTTGCGATGCGACAAACTCCAGAGTCTACCAGAGTCTTCTGCTAGACTGACGCAGTTGCCGCAGTTGATCCTTGTGTGCCGGAAGCTTCGATGGTTGCCTCAATCCTTCCATGAATTGGAAGCGCTTCAGGACCTCTGTCTTCAATGTGACAGTCTCGAAAGTTTACCAGAATCTCTTCGTTGTAGGCAGGCCCTTCACACGCCAGAGTTCAGGTGACTCTGTTCTGGGTTGAGTGACACAAATGAAAGTAAAGTTGACTAGGTGAAAGTAATTGCAAACCCTGGAATTTTTAGATCAATTGAAACACTCGAGGTCCATTGGAGTACTCAATGAGTACTATCAGTAAAGCGAGCTTCGAGAGTAAAATTTCCATTTACATGGAACAATCGAGCTGAGAGGCAAATGACCACTCTGAGGTTATGTAAGTACTTCCGGTCAAAGTAAAATGTTCAAAGACGAGGATATTCTTTGCTTAAGAAAGTGAGTAAGTCTCGTCATGGCGCCAAACCTTTTCTGTGACATCAGGCCAGATTGGAAACTACTTTGTCTAGCAAGAATAGTCAACACTTCCACAATCATACACTTCATGGCCGAGGGTATTCCGGTGAGTAAGATACTGCGAAACGAGTCCTGGTCTAAAATCTCATGCGTATCGAACGAGCTAGCAAAAATTGAATGCAACCCATTGCTATCGATCAGAGTTCGATTATAAAGGATGACCCTAAATTCCATGGTTCATACGGTAGATACTTGTTAATTTCTTACGTTTGTTCCCTGACTACAAAGGAACTCGTTGCTACAACTCATTTTAGCTCAATTTCAAAGCTGCACGAAACTGTACTAATTGGTATGTGATGCTTATTGTCTAAAACTCATATATCACCAGTCTTAGTCAAGGGGTGCTACTACGAAGAAATTGAGTAACTGGAGAGGGCGATAGAAGAAATAGAAAGAGGACTCTTTGACATTGAAGAGGTTTTCTACTGTAGTGGACAGTTTGCTCATGAATGATAGCAATCCGATGTCCAGAGGTATCTACTAAGAAACAGTTTATTAACTCATCCAGATGACCCTGCCCATTACCGAAGTCCCATTAACTATAGCTCAAAGGCTGCTTCGGGAATGAACGCAAGTGAATTTACAGCTTGAAAAGGTAACCAAATAAGACTTCGATTTCGTTTTCTAAGAAAGGGATCAGAAATTCATAGTGATAAGAATGCAAATTTTATTTCGAGATGTGTATGTTCTGCGACTCTCCACCAACAAACTAACCTTCTTCTACGATGTCTGAATTAAAAGTTGATTACTCTAAGCTATGCTTGAAACACAGAGGAAACGATGGAAAACGCAGAAGAGACTTCTCCTTTTATCACCAAATACACATAGAACCATATCGCCCGTTAACCCTTCAAAAGTGAACTCCTTACAAGCTGTACCGTGCATAACATTCTGTGGCCTCTCCCTTCAATCATAATTTCAATTTATCAATACGATTGGCCCCCCGGAACCATCAGAAGAAGCCCAGCCACCCAATTTGCATTCTATCCGCAGAGCGATGGGACGGTAAATACCAGATATCTCACTATTTGGTGAAGATGCAACAATCGGTGCACCTTCGTCTGAAGTTTCTCTTATGGCCATGTTCAGTGGCACCAGCAAGCGTCAATGAAGATTAATTAGCCCGAAGTGTATTTGACAACTATCGTCATTAAAGTGGAGCGACTACTTAGGTAGATAATCCAGATCGTTGATTATACCTCTCCAAGAAACTCATACCCATTTCTTGTGAAGTCACGTGAGCTCCACCATGACCAAAATCATCCATATGAAAACTATCCATACCCCAAAATCCCAGAGCTTTCTATAGCATCCATCGTTGCTCGATATCTTCACCTTTCAGAGATTTGAGTAGACCGACTTCTATCTGCAGCAGGACTTGCTCATCTGTTGCAGTCTAAAATCTACCAAGATGTTAGATTAGATTAGATTATTAGAATCGTTGGTACCTGCAAGCGGCAATGAAGATTAATTAGCCCGAAGTGTATTTGACAACTATCGTCATTAAAGTGGAGCGACTACTTAGGTAGATAATCCAGATCGTTGATTATACCTCTCCAAGAAACTCATACCCATTTCTTGTGATTTCACGTGAGCTCCACCATGACCAAAATCATCTGATCTCTCCCCACATTCAGAACACTTGAAGAAATTCATGTTATCAATGAGACCTAGAAACTGCAATGCACAATAAGTTTAGTAGCGGCTCACATTGCATAAGATTTGACCACATATACTTAATAGCAAGTTAATAACAAGACATATGATTGGATGGTTTGCCCCCAGCACAGGACAAATTCGAATTTGGAGCTTTCGTAACTTCTGTCACAAAAGCTTGTAGATAAAGCAACGAGTAACAACTTTTAAATGACATGAATCTTACAGTTTTCAACATTCTCAAACATGGTCACACCCCTGCGTGCATCCACAAGGTCGAGATCTTGAAGTGTTGAACGATAACGGCTCCTGTACACACATTGTCGCTGTGAGCAGTTTAAAAAGAACCCACACAAAAACTGAGAACTCAAATTACACCAAACTACGTGCATATCCCCTCAGAAATGGAACGATGTAACTGGGAGTGAAAAAATACAACTTGATGAACAAAGTAAACTCCATCATTTCAAGCTACGAGAGCGATGCTGATAACTATCGATGAAGGAGAGAAAGCAGCTAATGGTGAGAAGAACATACCTGCTTAATGGTAGCCAACTGTAGGTTGCACTATCGCAACAGCCAAATTGACTATATATTAGTAAATGCAATGGGGAGGGGCTAGTTATTTCTCACTTTGGGTTAATTAGCCCTCGCCCTAGTATACTGTAGGGCAAGATTGGTCCAAAGTTATAGGTGTAAGTGGGTTAAATTTATGGCTCTTCTAACATGGCTGGCCTCCTCGCAACCCACTATAGCCCACTTTTGTGTACCGTCCCCAACTCTGATAGTCTGATCTCATGGAATGTTTATGGAGACTGTTTCTTTCCATGACCTCTATTGCAATCGAGAATATGCAGGCGTGGAACGACGATCCTCGTCATCGCTAAAGCTGGGATAATAGGCCTATACGAGATTCTGATCTCGGGAGTTAACTCCACCCATACAGGTGCAAGGAAGAGGCAACTTGCCTATGCGCGGCCCATTTTGGGCGCTAGCCCTACCCAACCGAGTAAGGAAGAGGCCACCGCTCGCATTACGCGACCGAACCTACCCTATAAAGGTGCCTCCACATCCCTCATGACAACAAGCGCCAGAGTGGATTTGTGGCATAGCCGACTAGGACACCCGAAACTACTATGTTGAGGAGGATGATACCGCTTCTGACCGACCACAACATGTGCACTAGCGATGCGGAGCATGTTCGAGAATGCCCAACATGCATCCAAGGGAAATTGATCAAACGACAATCGACTTGGAAAGTACCGGAGGAGATGCTTGCATCATTGCACCGTCTTCAAGGTGATTGGTGTGGCCCAATCAGTCCAACATCAGGTCAGTTCAAATAATTTTTTGTCCTCGTTGATGCATTCAGACGTCATGCTAAGGTTTCTTTTCTTACCACTAGAAACATGATGTTTCTCAAGACCTTAGCGATGCTATTAAAATTTAGAAACCACTACCGTGATCACCTAGTTCGATTCCTTAGAATGAACAACGCCCTTGAATTTAAATCTTAGGCATTTAAGGACTATTGCGCAGCGACAGGGATAGAACTTACTTATTCCGCTCCTTACGAGCATAGTCAGAATTGTCTAGCTGAAGCTTTTATTAAGAAAATTCAGCTCATGATCCAACCCCTCCTTTTTCATTCTAAACTTTCACCTTCTTATTGGGGTCATGTTGTCCTTCACGCTGCCATTCTTTTCCGTTTTAGACTAACCTTACTCCATATTCAGACTCCGCTAGAATTAACATTGAGCCGAGTCGCGCATATATCATATCTCCAAACCTTTGATTGTGAGGTTTGGGTACGTGTTGCAGATCCGAAGATAAAATCCATGGAACCCCATAGAATCGAAGGTATATTTATTGGATTTGACTCCCCAAATATTATTCAATACAAGTTACCCGATAGAGATGATGTTTACAAAGCTAGAATTCAGAAATGCAAATTCATAGAAACTCGTTTTCCCGGCGCTAGACACTCCACCATATAGAACTTAACTTTAAAGCCCAAGAGACTCTCACCTTAAATCCAGATCCACGAACAACACTTACAGATTCTGACATGAAGAAACTTCTAGACTTGCAGAATCTAGCCAAAAAGCTCCTTGACGGATTTAAATCCGGACCTAGAATACTTCAAAATCCACTACCTGGGTGAGGAAACCACATGCCTGCTTCAATACCCAAGAAACATAAGACTCATACACGAGCATCACTCCTAGTAGAACAACCCGAGGAACCATCAAATCCCTGGTCAAATCCTGAGTGATTTGTAACCAATCCTACTAGTTCTGATTTTGACTCTACTACTTTAGATCAAGTTAGGAAGCGACCTGATTGGCCACATTGGAAAAAAGCATTACATGCCGAGTATCAATCCCTTCACAAGCGTTCAGTATTTGAATCACTTGTAACAGATTTTCCAGTCAAAACCATAGCTTACAAACATATATTCACTAGAAAATGTGACGAACACAGAAACGTAATTTGTTACAAGGTAAGTCTAGTTGCATACGGATATACTAAGAAACCAGGAAGATTTTGATCAAACATATTTCCCAGTCATGGATAGTACTTCATTTCGCTATCTTTTAAGCTTAGCAGTACAACTTTCACTTGAAACACGCCTCCTAGATGTAGTCATTGCCTATCTCTATGGCGACTTGGACACAAATTCGCATATCAAACCTCCAGCAGAGTTTCTGCCACGTCTGCCACCAATCTAATCATGACGTTTTCACGGGCTACGAATCCGGAAGACACTCTATGGGCTGAAACAAGCCGGAAGAGCATGGTCCCATCACTTGAAGTCCTATTTGATTTTCAATGGCTTCCAAAATCATCTTGCTCTACCTTGCATCTTTGTTTTGAAGAAAGATAAACAATTTGTGATCCTCGCTGTTTATGTCGATGATTTGAACTGTATTAAAACACAAGCATTAAGCAAGCGTGTTGAACTCATACTAACTAAATAGTTTGAAATAAAACTGTTAGACAAAACATCATATTGCCTTGGATTTTAGATTACTCATCTTGCATATGAAAGTATGCTTCTTCATCAACAAACTTATGCTCGCAAGCTTCTCAAGATGTTCAAAATGAAAAACGCGAATGCCTTATCAGCACATATGATAGGGAGGAGCAAGGCTGACAATGATCCCTATCGTCCTCCTGAATCCGAGGAGAAGGAGTTGGACAAACCAAAATATATAACAGCAATTGGCGCATTACTCTAGTTGGCGACAAATACTCGATCCGACATCAGTTTTGCCGTCAGCGTCCTCGCCTGTCACATCCAACGCCCCACAACACAACATTGGCAAGGCATTAAGCACCTCCTCAGGTACATTCGAGGAACACAAGATCTCGGTCTTCATTTTTGTCGCGGCCAGATTGATATTATAGGCTATGCCGACTCTGTGTTCAAATCAAATCCAACAACTGGCAAGTACCAAACAGGCTACATCTTTATAAAAAATGGAGCACCCATTTGTTGGAGATCCACGAAACAAACAGTCATGGAAACTTCAACGAGTCATGTTGAGCTCCTTGCGTTTCACGAGGCAGCCCGGAAAGCAGTGTGGCTTTGCATCATGCACATTGCTATATCCAAAATGGCTGAATTTTCAATCCAAGAGAAGACAACAACAATTTATGAAGATAACGCATCTTGTATTGAGCAAGTATCTTCTGGTTTCATCAAGTTAGACCGTGTCAAGCATATTAGTCCTCATTTGTTCAGCTACACATAAGACCTCACGAAAACGAGCCTGATTGTAGTGCGAAAGATAGCTTCAGTGGAGAACAACGTGGATATACTTACCAAGGCATTACCAGCTCCACAGCAGGCATGCGGACTTTATCAAAACTTATGTACAATAGTTGAATTAGAAAGTGAACGATCACTTCACTCTTTTTCTTCAATCTACTTGAAGTTTTTCAATGAAGGAGTTTATCGTTTGGGGATGAGTGTTGAGATAACCAATCTCTAATAATAGAGAGGGTTTACCCTAATCTTATCGATCGATTATCTCTAATAATGGGGAGGATTTACCCTAACTCTAAGAATTGTCGAGAGACCTAACCAACAATATGTATTGATATAGGTTTACACTAACCCTAATACTCTCATATAAATATGGGATTGTAACATCCTCCGAAGTCATTAATATACTTTACTTTGAGAGTATTTACAAGGGGCGCTGTTCACAAAGCGATCCGAGAGCATTGTTTCATTTGTCTCAATATTTTGTTCTTTTAGTTTCCTTCTCGCAACAATCAAAATATTTAGAGCGTTTTCGGTCTGGTTCATGCTTGACCTCTTTCTATTGCTATGTGAGTGATATCAACCAAGGTCTATGCTATGACTCTGAAGGAGAAGAACCAAAGTCATATCGTGAAGAAGCATTCTTAGACCTCAAATCTCATCCAAGACGTACACTTATGATCGTGATAACACTGTCGAGTGTCATCTATGTATCGATCTTTTTGTATACATCGTGACTGAGATCCACATACAGTGAGAGTTTCATATATGTACATACTTCAAACATAAACGTGCAGCCTAGATCATCCCTAAAATCTATCAAATGTCCCTAGACACAACCCGCAACTTGCGCTCTGTCATCATAAAAGATTGCAGGATGCTAGCTTGATCAATAATGTGTAACAGTCACGTCTTGAATAGCGCTATATACACAAGGCTAACATCTCCTCCCCTGACAAAGGACAATTGCAGGAGATCAAATTCTGAGCCACCAAATCCGGGAAGTATATGAACAAGTTCAGTATCTCTCGAGTCCCAAAGTAACCCAAGGCACTAATGAACTCTTGCATACGAGAATAAAGAGATAGAATTGAAGGCCGTCAGAAGGATTCTTTATATATACCAAGGGCAATGCAATATTGGTGGTTAGTTAGTTGAGCAAAATGGCTGATTAGAGCGAGTCGAATTAATTGCAAACACTGAATCCCACCGACCAATTTGTGACCCTTCGAGTTGACATAGGTAGGAAGAGTTTGGGTTTAGCATGGCAGGACCATAAGACAGGATATTGCATGTGTGAAATAAAACTAGAATTAGCCAAGGAGTTAATCATGATTATGATAGTTATGACTAAATTTAGCTAGTTATGACTAAGTTTAGCTAGTTTAGCTGGAATGTCAATACTTGGCGGAATAACTAGAGAATTTCTAGAAGATTTGAGTGAGCACTTCTATTTTGTCTTGTACAAAAATCTAGATTCCAAGAGAAAAGACTTTTTGACTTCATGTTTAATTTTGATTGGTTTAACTAAGTATGAGTACTCCATTGGTTAGACTAAGTCTTATGTTAACTTAGTGAAAAGTGTAAGTTCTAGAAGTTGAAAAGTCACAAATAGCATGTCGCCACCTCAATCTATGGATTAGTAAAATCTAAAAAGTTTAGGAGGCCAATGGCATGCTGCCACATATTGATAAACTAGTCAACCTTACTATGATTTATCTTTGTAAAAGTAAGTTAGATAGAAATTACCATTTGTTAATATGGTAAATTCTCAAGTAGTATATATAGAGAGGTATGGAATAGACTCTCAAGCAAGTTTAGAAAGTTCATATATAAAAACTTGTTTCATATATGAAAGAGTGACGAATTTTCAGTACCTTGGAATGTAGATGTGTGTGTGAGTTGGAGTGATACCTTGAGAGATTGTATGAGATGGTGTTTGGGCTATGAGTATGAGTAGGAATCCTAGTCTTCTAGAACCATGATGAACTACCGAAAAGCCATCTGAGGTAAACCTAAATGAGAGTTAGCCTGGAGGTTGCAGGACAGGATAGCACCATAGCAAATGATAAAACAGATGAAGGTTAGGATAAGTTGCCGGGGTAGCACGACGATGGGGTGTGTGATTCCACTTGGTCTGATGATAGGATCGATGAGGCCGAGTGAATAGCAACTATGGTCTACAGCTCCACTCCGCAAAGATCTGACAACAATGAGCATGTCTCACTCTATCCGCAAGGTAAAGGTAAATGTCCATGCCTTACTTGGTAGCCTTTTACTTTACCTTCGCGAGGCTTACTCACAACACAATAACATGTGGTTGGATAGCCGAATTTACAACTCATGATAGCAGGAACAACTTTCTGAAATTCGAATAAGATCTACTTTACTTAAGAATGGTTTGGTTGACATTGATGTGTCAAGTTAGTCTTCGTCAGGATGCCGGGCCAATTTAGTTTGTGGCTCAGCAAATTTCTATCCAATGCAAGAAACCAAGACTAATTCATATTCATGTTTCACTTAATGAGGAAAAAAATGAGTAGCAACTAAGTTTCAAGATATGCACATTCTTCTCATTCCCTTACTCTTGGTGCAAAAATCATGAAGTTTGCTTTATTGTATCATAACAATATTTAACCTGAGACACTAGCATTTCTACAATCTCTTGGAACTATTCCAACATTTTTAATACTAAACTTTTACAATTATATAACTATGCACAATGGGTGCAATTTCATCTCAAAGATCTCTACGTTTGACGTATGCAACTTGAGTACATGCACGAAACTTCATGTGTGAAAACACCTCACACAATCATGAATTAAACATTTTGAGTTCATCACTTTGAGTTCAACATTTTTTATTTTCTTACATCATCAAATATATGATGTAAGGATCCCATTATATATCTGATGGGATCCTCTAGAGGAGTATTCCAAAAATTTATAAGATTTTTGGAAAAAGATCTTCGTTCATAAAATATTATTGTAATGTTTTGCAACACATTGAAATCTCACTCCATCAAACATTAGTTACGTAATTATGAAGTAGTTAAAGATGGTTTATATCACCAATTAACTATGGTTTATTATAATATCCATGCTAGAGACATTCAAATAGGAATTCGAACTATAAAATTTATGATGAAACTGGTTACGACCTCTCATTTCCTTGGCCATGGAAGTCGGCTTGGCGTTTACTTCTCGGGCTTCATTTTGTTATATGTGTGATGCTTTCCGACCACCTTTCGAGCTACTTTCATTGCCAATAATAATAATAATCTATTCAGAAAGGAATTGATTTGATTTCACGACAGTTCTGTTCTCTGCAAATATTTCTAAACTATCAGCTTTAATCTCACATTAAATCTTACTCTTGACATGTGATGTTAAACTGTTATTATTTTCCTTGGCTATATAATCTACTTGTCCACAGGTTGTCTGTGGGCATATGCATATCATAAAATTCAGCCATAGCTTTGGTGACATCGAAAGATTAATTTGCTTGACTTTAGGGTTGAGAGGACGAGCATGCTCAAACGAATGCAATGCTGTGCAAGATGCACTCGTCGGTCGAAGTCCCGGTCAGAAGAGCAGATCGCACGCGTGTGCTTGTCAGCATCGAATGTTGCCTCGCCTATCCATGCGCACGGATCATGGTGGAAGCTCGGCAGACAAAACCTTACGAGCTAATGCTCGCCGATCAAATGAGGAAAGTGCAATGTGACTGATCGTTCGACCTCGTGGAGTTGCGCTGTGTGTAATCTGACCTTGTCGCCGTCTAAGGGCTTGAAAAATGTCGTCGATTTACGTTCTAGAGCCGCCTACGAAGGGAAAAGTTTTGCTGAACACGAGTTTGGGACCGCTGGACTTCGAATTGTGGCCCAAAGAAGCACCGAAAGCGGTAGGGATTATTCGTGTGTGTTCTTCTCGGAGCTGTTATGCTTTTTCGTGCTTTCCTTTGCTGAGTTTGCTTTCGACCTCCGTTGTTGTGTAATCCGACTGGCTTAATGGTATGTTTAGTAGTCTGCCAATGCCTTAGATTCAATCTTCAAGCTTACACAGAAAATGTGCAGTCCTCAATTTGAATGCAGATTATGCATGAGCTCTGTGACTTAAGCTGCTTTACAGCTATGATGTTTCTTTACAAGAGAGAAATTTTTTCAAACACGTTATCGTACCAATGTTGCGTGAAAACATGGGGGTAGATCTAGGCATTGCAATTTTATCAAAATTTGTTGAGCAGAATTGAGTGTAGAGCCTGGAACTTGAAAACAAGGAGGGAAAAATGGCAATGAGACTCCACACTCCTCTAACAAGCACATTTTAATTCCACTATTCTAGTTGCAACTTCGATTACTGACCAGACAACTAATCTGTAGGATCTTACAGACTGTGCTAGGAGACTTTCAGATATTGGTAGCGTATACTGTGAATGCATTTTATTTCAATGAATTTTTATTTTATTTGAGTCATGGAGTCAAATGGTTATTGATTAAAATGTAAGTTGCTTTCGCAAGACCTGTCATCAAGAGGAATCAAACTCGAATTTTACAGTTTGTTGAACACTTACAGTTTGCTACTTGAGTGTCCCAGAATTCATCTTTTCATGTGATTGAGGTGTGATACTAATGACAACCCTCAAATGGTCATCAGGTCCGCAACTTTGTGCAGCTGTGTTTGGAAGGATACTATGACAACACAGTCTTCCATCGGATAATTAAAACTTTCATGATTCAAGGTGGTGATCCAACCGGAAGTGGAACAGGTAGGCCGAAAGCCTTCGTTAGACTTAGTTATTCTCTATCATCCTGACGGAGACATAGAACATTATGGACACCAAGTGTAGGGATATAACAAATCATGTGATTTTAGCGGAACGAGCTGGAGTCCTTGTGATTCAGGATAGCACTTTAGCTAGAGAGTATTCAAGCGCCAACTCGTTTGCATTAACTATAACATACGCTTTTGGTTGTTCTCAGGTGGTGATACGATATATGGGGAGCCTTTTGCTGACGAGTTTCACTCCAGATTAAGGTTCAACCATAGGGGTCTTGTTGCATGTGCAAATGCAGGATCAGCAAACTCGAATAACAGTCAGTTTTTTATGACATTGGAACGATGTGACTGGCTGGACAAGAAGCATACTATCTTTGGCAAGGTGCAGCATAGCTCTAACTAAGGCTTTGTCTCCCTCAACTGTCATATGTGGAATTGTGATTTCTAAATTTCAATATTAGACGTAAACGCCAAGTCAGGATGTTATAAATCCTTGTTTCCTCTTGAAGTATGTTCCACTCATGTTACATCCACGATCATAGCTCCTGCTCCAGCCAGCTAGTTACTAGATTTTATATTTCGCGAGGTTGGATGTTTCATATCCGACCTTCACACATGGCCGGATGTTATTAAAACGTTTTAGTTGGGTTTTTCGTAGGTAACAGGAGAAACCATTTACAATTTGATAAAAATTGGCGAAGTAGAAACCGACAAAGAGGATCGACCGTTGGATCCGCCAAAGATTCTTTCTGTTGAGGTAATGGTTTATTATCAGCTCTCAGCCACCGGATATGAACGAATCACTTTTTATGTTTTTGTTAGTACGCAGCAATCAGCCAGGTACTACATACTCTGAAATTCGTGCTTTGCGGCAGGCTGCAATGTCAGACTTTGACTCGATGATTTTCCTTGACAATGTAGCCATCTGGTTCAGGTCCTTTGGAATCCCTTCGATGACATCGTAATAAGGAATTTGCGCCAAAGTGCTGACGTTCAAGAAGCAACGGAAGCGGCTTCTAAGGAGAAAAAGGGAAGGAAGGTTAAGAAGTAAGTTCAATTAAAATCAGATAATGAGAAAATAAACTATCTGATTTACTTCATAGTGAACGTGTAGAAAACATGCCACATCGTATTTTATGGAGGTCCTCCAGTCATTAGCTCCTGTTGAAGTGTTGGAAGATTTACTGTGCTCTGAACTCAAAGTTCTATTGTAAATTCTATATCCAATAGGCCTTTTTTTTAGGTTATGAATTTTTATTTTTTTTTGGAGTTATAAGGATCATGTCACACCCACTTACTAGATAAGACCAATGCTGTCTCAAATATGTTCCCTCAGCTTGAAAGTAATACCTCATGAGATTAGCGCCGTCTATTAGATACGTGAAGTACATCTGCATGCTGTGATTGATCGACGAGTCGAGATGTGTAGAGTTTTGAGATTTCAGGTTTTTATATTTTATGATGGCAGAGAGTTAAATCTTCTGTCGTTTGGGGAAGAAGCTGAGGAGGAAGAACAACAGCTAGCGGCTGTAAAGGAAAAGAAAATCAGGAGTAGTCATGATGTTTTGCAAGACCCTAGGCTTTTGAAAGCTGCAAGTGATGCGCTCGAAGTGGTAAGTCTCTTCAAATATGAGTAGATCAGAAATGCAAACTCTTAGAAGTGATACCTTTCTTGCCACTTTTGCTCAGTTTCTTGTGAGACCCTCGTTGTGTCCGTTGGTCTCCAGGTTTGTCATAGTCGACCCCAGTTAATCTGAGCAATGAAGAGGTTGAGTTAGTGATGTTTTGCTCAGTAACGGCTGTCAGGCATTGTTGGTAAGTTTGACATATGTTCGTTTGGTTTGATGATTTTACCTTACATTTCTCTCTGTTTGGAAGCTGAGGGATGAGGTTTTATGCATGAGGTGTCTATGTGATAATTGTAGCTCATATCACGTCTTAGGTTCCATATATATGTCTCTTCATCTGCAGTTCAAAGAAAGCAGTTGGATACCTTTTAAGTTGCTACGTATTGAACTGCCAACCAAAAGAATCTTGAAGTTGGCGTATCACGTGACATTTCTCTTGTACTTACGGAAGTAATTGTCTTCATTATTATGCTAAACATGCCCCATTTATCAGGATTACCTAGAGAGCTCTTATGGAAACAACAATTGGAAAATTTTTGTACAAATAATTATCTGATTACATTACACCGAACTAAAGGTCGGTTTAATGTAGTCAATCTGAGGCACAGAACCAACAGTGGACCGAATTGTCTAAGTAAAAGTTTTGGATTCTTCATTTAATAACCTTGGATAAGGAATTTCGGAAGACTGTTGGAACTCCATGGATTGACAGTTGCTGAGAAAGGTCGTTGGTAATACCGACTGAATTCTAGAACGCTGGGGTATTACAACTGAAATGGATTTGCCAGTTGGACCATTAATCTGAAATATTAGTATCTTTGTCATAGTTCAATGCAGTTTGTTATTTATGTGGATTGTGAAGAATGTGGATTGTAAACATTCAGTTCCAAATTTGCCTGAAATCTTTTCTTCTACGATGATGTTTCTATGCGGCAGGACCCAACGGAGGCCAAAAGAAGAAAGGGTGTACAGGAAAGTGTAAGACAGGCTCTAGGTGGGTCTGGGAAAGACAATGCTGTTTCAGAGCACAGAGAAAGGGAGGCACCTTCTCATGGAAGTGACGAGGATGAAGTTGACTTTGACAAGAGGATGAGGGAGCAAATCATGAAGAAGAGAATGAATCTAGCAGACTCGAAGACTATGGGATCGGATAGAAAGCAAGGTAGGTTAGGCAGTGGGAAAGAATGCATTCTACCTGTGCTCGATGTAAAAAGCATGATTTGTGGTAAGCATACTGACGAGAAATGAGATGGTGCGTTCTTACAAGTTCTCACCTTCACTTCTCATTTTTGGCTTACATGAATCTATATGAATCTACATCAATCAATCACAATTGAAACAGTTTCTACTTTGGAGCATTCATCTGGAAGACAACGAGAAAAGTGTAGAAATCTCGTTTCGTCCTTTGCTCTGAAACTATGGATAAGTGATCGTTTATTAAAATCCTGTGGTGAAAAGACCATACTTCCTTCGCGTCTTCTTCCTCGGTTACTGGCATCGGCCGGCCGGACCGTGGGGTTTTTAGTCTTAAGGCCATGAGACTTACTACAGATATGCAATTGTTGTTTATTTTGACCTGAATTGATGTGAAAAGTTGAAATTGGCCAGTCCATTATCTTGACGTACTATAGACGGAAGTGTAAACTGCTAATTAGCACATTGAGTTTAGAAAATAGCAATTTCCTCCAACTGACAACACTTTATCACTTCGCTGTAGGGAAAAGCTCCACAACAAAGAAGTCCTCAGTACCACCTGCAACACCCTCAAGTAGACCAGACGTACCATCCAGGTAATACTTTCGAGCTCCCGGATACCGAAGGCGCTCAACCAAGTTGTTCTTTGATGTCTTGCTTAAATCTGACACTGCTATTGACAAGGCCGTTAAAAGTGGTGAATTACGTTCACTGCGTGTTTTATCGAAGGTAGACTGGGATTTGAAAGCCATTTTAGCAGGATGTAGAGGTTGATGCCTAGTTCATGATGAGGCACTGTTGGAATCCGGTTGATGGTCTCGTTGATTAAGGTCCAGAATCTCTCGTGCCTGTGCTTCATTCTTATGACTGGATTTAAGTATTTTACAGACACGAAGAGAAGTCTAGGGAAGACGACGATTCTGATAGCGAAGGAGGTACGAAGAAAGAGAAGCTTTCTATAAAAAAGAGGGGCCTTGGCTCTGAAGCTAGAGCAGAAGCTGCCGCAACAGCTGATTTGGACATGCAACTCCTCAGTCCTCTTGAGCAACAGCGTGCCAGATTTAAACAAAGAAAACGTACTCTTCAGGGTCGTGAGGAGAATGTAAGTATTAGAAGCAGCATTATGATGTTTTACAGATGGTCGATTTTCCTCAAAACGAATGGAGCAAGCTTTGAGCACCTTGCGCTATATTTGTTGTAATACAAGAAGTAATGATTCACAAAACTAGCTTTTGAGTTATGTTTTTGACACGTGGAGCTGCAACGTTCATTCCTTGTAGACCTTGGCGAAGTTAGAGAAGTTCAAGAAGAAGTTGCTGGATACCAAAGATAAGTCCGTCAAGTCCGCGGAGGCAACAAAAGCTGAAGATGACGAAGGCTGGTTAGCACACAGCTTGAAGTTTATTGCCGATCCAAAGAAGGTACGGCTCTGAGAATTGTGCTTTGTGTATGTTTTGAGGCGCCCTTATTAGCACCTTCGTCACACCGCTTTTCCTTCCCCTTTGGTTTTTTCTTTGACTAGTTTCATTGTTCATCCTAATCGGGAACGAGCCAAATAATTGCTAAGCTACAGTTTTGATGGACATCTCAGAAATGCAAATGACGTTGTTCTGTTTCTTGATTGCCATTTTGGCTCAGGATGATATGTCCAGGAATGAAGATCCAAATCAGTATATTGTTCAAGATCCTTTGCTTGAGAAAGGGAAAGAAAAGTTCAACAAAATGCAGGCGAAAATGAAGAAGCGGGGAAAGGAGTGGGCTGGAAACTCTCTGACGTAGATGTTCAATCATACATACCGCTCCCGTTCAATCACGTGTTCTCTGCGTTGATGAGTTTAGTCAATCAAGGTCAAAGTAAGCAATCTGCTCAATTTCCATGTTTCTTGAAGTAGTTGTACAGATTGGAGGTTGAACAGATTGTCGGAAAGGCGACTAGTCTCTCTTGCTTTAAGACGAGAGCTGTGTATATTTTGCCTTCCGATTTCCTTGGAAGTAGCTCAGATTGTAAATTCTTATAATCTCTACCCCATCAAGGATCAGTGGCAGTTTTGTTGAGTTTTGCGTGGGCCACTGTACAAGCGCTTACCTTCCATCAGAGGTTATGTTTCGTGCATGACGTTTTTGAAAATCTGGGCATGAGAGCTTTGGACCTCTTATGTTCCATTCTCTCTTTTAAAACTTCTCGAACACATGAGAGCAATGTAGACTATGTCTCCTCCTATTCCAATCTAAAATGGCGATGGGGGTATGTCTGAATCTTCAAACTGAATCTGAATAAACTGGTCCATACGCATAACTGAAGCAACTGAGATTTAGTGTGACGTGCGTTGATCACTAGCTCCCGAGGAACCGTTCTGAGGTAGAGAATCTCCTTACTGCACATTTTCACTGCGGAAGTATATTTCTTCTGCTTGAAGAAATATCCGGAGGATTGTCCTTCACTTTGCGTGAGTTCTGTGGTTTCGTAACAACTGGAGGTGCAGCTATCGTAGCAGTTGAAAGTGTGGTGCTATACTCGTGAAGGCAACCTGGCTGGATGTATGTCACTATCTAATATCTCACGATATGGAAGGATCAAACATTTGAAAGACTAGCCCATTACGCCATACTATTAGAAACAAAAGGAGCACTTATGAGAGGATTATTTGATGTTGTACAGAGTTTTGGATATACACTTATATGAAACATATTTTGTACTGTACGTAAAATAGGTATTTCTTGTACTACAATAAACATTTAACTTCTATTGAATTAATTGTACTATTGATTAACAACAAATTATATAGTCATTTCCATGTGTTTATAATTTCACGCACGAAGACGTCAAATGATAAACCAAAACTAAAGTAAAGTATCAGAGTAGAAGAAGAAGTACCTAGCGGGAACAAAGCATGTCGTGCCGAGACGCCATTTTCGGAAATCAAGGCAAGATGTACCAATGAAACTGCAGTCAACACTAGCAGGCTAGCACACTTTCTTCACTTCCCCGGCAAATGGATTATCCTACATCGTTTTGGGATCGTGGGATCGGGTTTGTCTTCTCGAAGAACTGTCTGGTGTGCAAATGATCTGTGAAAGCTTGCTCAGAAGTGTCCTCGAGGTAAATAAATGAACGAAGGAGAGAACTTCGATCTTTTGGGTTTACACAAGCGAGGGCTGTCAGAAGTTAAACGAATGAGAAAAGCTGGTTTCGCTTTGCAAATATCTGAGCAATGGGTGAATGTCTAGTTGCACCCAAATTGCTGTCAGTTCCCAGAATGCTTGCACTACGAGCCCCATGTTACGAACCATGTGCGACTTGGTACATGGTGAAATATCGTCGATGGCAGGACGCAGGAATCTTCACACGAGCAGAGACGAGGCCAGCATATATTCGCTCGAGACCCTTGGGGTAGATATTTGCAGCAGAAAATCTGCCCAGCCTTTCGCGGGGCTTCATGGATGGATCTGATTTCTTACTGCTTTTGATAAAGCTATACACTGTGACACTCCAGAAACCCAAAAAGGCCCCAGATCTTTCGATTTACCCCAAGGTGCATCGTTCAGGTGAAAGAAAGGTCGCAACTTTGAGCTTGCTGCGTCCTTATCCAGAGGCCTGAACGAGCATTTGAATACGCTCGCGACTTCTTCCCGATGATAGTCCACGCGACCCCCTTCAACCAACCACGAGATTCGCTTTGAAGCACTCGCGCAGTCGTGCGTAAAATTCTCTCCATCTCTCTCTCTCTCTCGAGGGATGAGGGTTTTACCAGTTCCTGCGTCTCGACTCTTCATGCCACTAGCAATTCGGTTCGGTTGCAGGCAGGCAGACAGTCAGGCTTGACTTCACAGTTTAATATGAATGGGTTGACGTGAACTTCTCTGCAGGAGAGAGTCTAAACTCGGAATGGGTCCGCAGGCAGTCCAAGATAATAATCAAACCTTGTGGAGTTTGACATCATGCCCAGCGTGCCAAAGGCTGCTGGGCATGAGAGAGAGAGAGAGTGTAGTAAGTTTATGAGTGAGTGAGTGAGCAAGCGGGCGATGGAGTTGGTGAGGCATGGAAGAGAAAGCTCGAGTGAAAGATGAAAATGGGAGGGCTATGGTGACAGCAGGTGAGAGTCAAGCCGTGGCCAGCAAAACAAACCATCCCGCCCTTGAGCAGCAGGAGCCCCGCCCGGCCAACTTTACAGCCAAGCCAGGCCACTTTCCACTCCATGGCCTTCGCTTCAAGCTCACAACAACTACGATGGCCATATTTGCTCCTCCACCCCTCCCTTCTCCCCCGCCCCCACAACCAACCTCGAACTCAGCAGCAGAAGCAGCAGCATCAGCAGCAGTAGCAGTTGCAGTCGCAGTAAGAATTTTTTTTGGCCACCATCACCAGCCCTGGAGTTTAGTGTGGGAGGGGGGAGGGGGGCGGCGCAATGTGTTTGACAGAGAGCAAACAAACCTTGAAAAGTATGCGAGGCGAGATTTAGTTGCAATACATGTGATGCATCTGCTCGCCGGTCGGTCGACACTGACCGAACGACTTTTAGAGCCTGACCGAGTGAGCGAGAGAGTGAGTGCGGCAGCGAGCCGCCTCAGAGGTGCCATTGCTGGCCATGAGCTCTATCCAGATGCCAGGCATTCTAATCCCAGTTGCCATGAGGCGAGGTGACTCACTCGAATCCCCCGAATCTATCCGCGCTAAGATTGGAGTATTATTGGGCCGGCCCAGTCTCCTTGAGCCACAAGCCGAGAGAAAAAGGAGGGAATGTGTCTGGACTGCCTGACCTGCTGACGGCCTCGCTCGCTGCTCGCCTGACCTCCTGACTGATTGCCTGACTCTGAGATAATTGGGGCCGATCTTCGGATGAGGACGAGGCCAGATAACAAGATATGTCCTCCGCTCGTCCTCTTTCCGCCCTCTGCCGAGGCCAATGAGAAATCCCAGAGCTCCAACTTCCAGCGACGAGACGAGAGTCACGGGACGTCAGCCTCGCTCGCTCGGTCGAGCCATAAAAAAAAAAAAAGCTCCCTCCGTCTTTGGAGGGGGCAGCGCTGTAAATTTAGTGCGCTAATGCGCGTCTCGCAATGATCAGGTGATGGTTTGGGGCGTCCCGGTGGGTGAATGCACATTGGAGTGGGATCTGCCAATGCCATGGCTGTGGTCTGTGGTGTCTGCACTTCCCCCGCTCCCACAGAAAAAAGAGGAAAGTTCGATGAATTCCATGCCTCTCGCTCGGACTGGATGAGGTGAGACTAAAATTGGGGTTCGGTGAAAGTGTTGGCGAAGTGGATGTTGTGGTTCTGATCCCTCATGTCAGCTCAAGACACTCCCGTCAGAAAATCAGGCCGAGTTATGACGTCTCCGCGGGGTAAGATGCTTAATTCTCCTGATTTTTCTGCAGCCGGTTCAGATCAGAGGAGCTCGATTGATTGATTGACTGGACGAGCGAATGATTACCCGAATGACTTAAATGACTTCCCATCCGCGCAAGGCAAGGATGTTGCTGCGAAGTGGCTACCCGAGCGCGCACTAGATTATAGCTCAGGTCAGCTCTAGACACTCACCGGTGAAAATCAGATGAACGAATGACGTCCCCCGAGGTGCTGATGAGAGAGATGATGAATCTCCTCCCATTTCTCTCGGCGCATCATATGACGACGAGCTCGAATGGACTGACTAATTTCGGTGCTCTGTGCGAGGGTTGAGACCCCAGAGGGCTCGCTCGAGCAAGCGCATTACTCTAAGTCAGCCAGTAGTGACACTCACCTGTCCACCCACCAAGTAAATTAATGACTGCCACCCCCCGAGAGCCAGGAGAAGAACAAGATTAGATGGATAAACTCTCCCCCCACCTTCTCGCGCCGAAATGATGATGTGAGCTTGAATGCTGCATTACTAATATTGGCCTCATGGCAAGTTCCAGGAAATGAGAAACCCCCAGCCAAAAAGCGATTTCGCAGCTTGTTTGCTTGTAGCTCTGTAGCCCCCTTGCTGCCAGTGGTCGTCTCACACCGACCGAAACTACATCATGCAGATTAATGACGACCCCCAAGGTCAAGGTATCGAGAGAAAGTCTGAGTTCTGGGATTCTGAAAGAGAGAGCAAGCGGCCGATCGAGACCTTTGCTCGCCCACTTCTGCCGCCGATGTGCTGCTCTGCAGCTTCGGCGGAGCTCAAGATCACGTTAGAATAGATGGAGAAGACAGGGTGCTAAATTTGACTCGAGCAGAAAGTCAGCTCAAGCACCTCACCGGCACACGCCAAAAGGGCAACTGAAGTGCAGGGGGGGAGTAAACCGGAGGCATGAGGTCCCCACGTTTCTCTGTGCTCTGCTCTCGAGAGCCCGAAGAAACCTGCAGCCGAACACGAGCCTCGATTTATGACTGACCTTGCGGCATCGGTGCTGAATCTCGAGTCCGTACTGCCCTCGGATATGTCCGGCTTTCTGTCCTGGGGCTTAACCTGCTAGCCCCCCAGGGCTTGGCCGCGGGTTGACTGCGGTGCATCCATTGGCCGCAAGTGTACTCTGAGCCTGCGAAGAGCAAACGACTCCACGTCCATCAGCAGCAGGTGCTAAGTTTACTCGACGACTTGACTTTACTCCCCTCCCCTCCCCTCCCCTCCCCTCCCCGGGGCTGGGCTTGGGCTTGGGCTTGAGTCGCTCGCTCGGTGGTTGGTTCCGTGCCCGCCTCGAGTTTACCTCGAGGGCGAACGGAATTAATCGCAGGACACAACCACATTCTACCCCCTCGTCACTCACTCGCACTCGCATTCGGACTTTTCTTTTCGTGGTTGGTTCTTGGCGAACCATGTCATCCAACATTCGCTCCAATTATCGTCGAGTTCGTCCCCGGAGCTCGGCACGGGGTTGCGCTGGCGAGCTCTGGGGCTATGACATGCTTCCACTTTCCACTGACTGACGACCTCTGAGGTCAATGGCTGGCAGCGACACGGACGGAAGGAATGAAGTGGGCGAGTTAGGAAGCGAGGGACCGACTGATTGCTTGCTTGCTCACTTGCTTGCTTGGGCCTGTGACCCACCCCGTGGTGCTTGGCAT